ACCTCTGTTGGGTGCTTTTGTTCGAAGCCACAGAAATCCCAACCAAAAAAGGCATAAATAAGAAAGACTTGGCGCAGGGGACTGCAAAGGGGAAGTGTGACTTCAGGCGTCATCCAGTCCAAGCCCTGCGACCCCTGGCTCAGACTTCCTTGGCTTGTTGGCTAAGATCTCGGGCTGGCTTCACTGAGGCCACTTTGCATCCTCATTCACATCCGGTAAGGGTCAAGGTGAAGCCCGATCATGTATGGAACAAACATCCCGAAGCTGGAGCTCTGATTGGGCCCATCCCTAGATGGGTCCTTAGGCTGAGGGTGGAATTAACCCTCAGAGCCCATCCCTAGAGCTAGAAGTGGGGTCCATCCATCCAAAAAGATCTGCTGTCACACAATGGAGGGAAGGGGTACACTCTTCATAAGCGAAAATCTGGGGGCTTTAGAAAAAGAAGGGAAGAATGAATACTTTGGGGGCAACCAAAGAATTTCTTTACCACTTCCATATCCACTCTATGTTTGTTTGTTTTTTTAAAGATTTTATTTATTTATTTGACAGAGAGAGGAGAGAGAGAAAGAGCACACAAGCAGAGGGGAACAGCAGACTCCCCGCTGAGCAGAGAGCCCGATGCGGGGCTCGATCCCAGAACCCCGGGATTGTGACCTGAGCCGAAGGCAGACGCTTAATGACTGAGCCACCCAGGCGCCCCATCCACTCCATGTTTATTTGGTTGATACGGTCAAAAATGCAAAACTGGCAGCATAAACCTTGGCAGTGGTGTTCTTGAACACTTGGTGGAAGGCTGTAAGGGGAGAATTGCTCCAGGTACATGGTGTACACCAATCTTAAACAAGTTTCTTTGGATACTTGTCTGCATTTTTGGCATTTTTAAATGAATATGTATTGGCCCATGAAGGCAGGACCTTCCCCAAAAGTATTCAATCTTTTCCTACTGGCTATATCTGTACTTTCCAGGGAGAAAGCGAAGGGACCCAGTCCTCGTCTTGTATGACTAGGATTTTTGTAACTCCTCCTAGTCTTTATAACTAAGAATTCATTATAATTCCATCTCCCACTTGTCTGGCCAGCTCCAGTGTCTCCAACACCCCAGGATCCCCATTCAGGACCACTCTCATCACAACACACTGTGAAAACTTCATATGCCTAGCATCTCCATTCGACCTCAGTCTCTTTAGTTTCCTACCCATTTCTTACCATTTCTTACCCATCTTTGGTCCTCAGCCTGGAGGAGCATCTGACCCACAGGAAGTGAATGACTATAACCAAATGAGCAGAGCTGGTTCTGAGGAGAGAGCTGGGCTTGCACCCACAGACTACTGGGGAGGTCATTTAGCCCCTCGGAAACCCACCATCCACAAAATGAGAAAATTAACATCTGCCTTACAGGATGAACTGAAAAACATGCTATAAAATGTAAATGATGAAAGTGCTATCTCTTCCTATTTCTCATTAATTCTAAGATGAACATTTTCTCATATTTTAACGTCTCTAAAACTGAGATCCATTCTTGCAATGGACTGAACATTTATGTCCACCTCGAATCTATATTTTGGAACCTAATGCCCACGGTGGTGTTATGAGGATGTGGGGCCCTTGGAAGGTGCTTAGGTCATGAGGGTGGAGCCTTTGTGAATGAGATCAATGCTGTTATAAAAGAGACGCCACAAAGCTCCCACCCCCTTCTGGATCTTTCTGGATGTGAGGTTACAACTAGAAGGCACTGTCTATGAACCAGAAAGCAGGCCTTCACCATACACCGAAGCTGCAGGCCCTTTCATCTTGGACCTTCCAGCCTCCAAAACTGAGAGAAATAAATTTCTGTTGTTTCTAAGCCACCCAGTTTATGGTTTTTTGTTACGGCAGCCCAAGCAGACTAAGACAATCCTGCAATCCATGCATAAATATGCACCATAACTTATTATTCTATGGTAGTTTTTTCCTTATGTCTTACGTACCAGATTTTAGTGTTGCATAAGATAGGGCTGACTCTTACAATCAAAGGTGTCTGGTATTCAACAAAATACAATGCTATCAGTATCCATGCAGTACTCTGCCTCTGACAAATGACCCCAAACCGGCCTCAGATTCTACTGCTCTGTTTGTCAACTTCAAGAGGGTCCCTCCACCTCCCTCACAGCATTCTGGGTGCCTTTAATAACCCCCAATCCATCTTATATTCTAAATGTATCCAAACGCTTTGGGAAATTATTTGTATTTTCATTTCCCCATAAACTAGTTACAGTATTTAGTATAAGCACTTAATCTTACTTGTCTCTACTTCCCATTACCATCTCCCCACCAGCAGCAAGCTTGAAGTAATGGGAAGAACTCTGTAATGTTTTGGAAAGAATAATTTTAGTTCTAGTCCCCTTTTGTCACTAATTAGCTACATGTCTAATCTCTGTCATCTGTTAAATGGGGGTGCCAATATTTTCCTCACAGTTATGCAAGGTTGAATGAGATCATATATGCGGATGTCCTTTAAAATGACTGCATTCTGGAATCTGATGAACAGAAAGGCCTCTGTTCCCCTCTGTAATTTTACCAATCTTGGATAGCTTCCAAAGACAACACTTCAGAAGAAAGGGTGACTTTTAAGGTGCATTTGATTACTTCCTATATTCATCCACATGACCACTGAGATGACTCCTGTTCTCCAAAAATCTACGGGACATGGAAAACAAAGTGACAAATTGTTACATTTGCCTGCACCCAGTTTCCAGTAAGTATGTGGAGTCCATTGCTTTAAGTGTCAGTGTCGTGGACTTTGCCCCATCCTGCAGGAACTGTTTCCTTTGCTTGGGCCTGCTACGGAGGCTTATCTTGATGTTTGCAAGACAGTGCAAGCTTTAACTTGAACCATGAATTTTTTTTTTTCAATGTTACTTATCAGAGACAAGCTCCCTTTTATGTTTGGCATTAACATAGTAATGTTTATTTGTTGTTTTCTTTTTCACATTGTACTTGCCTCTACTTTGCACACGATTAAAACCAACTTTATCTTTTACTTGGTTTTAGGCTTAAATTATGGGGTGGGAGTGGGGGGAACATTAGGACACTAGTAGATATTAGTGCCCACTTTGTGCTCAAATTACACATATTGTCTTGTTTCTGTAGACAGCTCAGCAAATGGAAAAGGTGTAGCGCTCTGTGTTGGAGGGGAGGATACTGAGGTGATCTGTCAGAAGTCAGAGACTCAGAAACGGACCCAAAACCTCCTGAGCACAGACCACCAACTTTCTGTTTTTTCTTTTCGGTTTTGGTTTTGTCTAGGCGTAAGGAAAAGGGCGGGGCGGGGAGTGCGGTGGGGAGGAGAAGGATATTTGAGCAGGCATTTGACATTATACATTTAATCCTTTTAAACCAGAAGTCATCTTCTTCCACTCCCCGTATCACTTCATTTCATGTTTTATTCCTGAAAATAAACTTAGTGGATCCTTTTCCTTTACATTTATCTGGAACAATTCCAGATTCTTATGGCATTACAGAATCTGTCTCCAGCTAAAGGCATTCCATAAAGGAGACAGCCTTAGGGAAGAAGGCAGGGGATAAATTACATGAATGAGTTAGTACAAAGCTGCTAATAAAACCTACAACACAGGTAAAAGGCAGAGGGTGTAATTTGCCAACAAAGTTTTAGTACCAACTACCGAGAACTTAAAATATAAAACATTTTAAAAGTATGTATTATTTATTTAAATTGCCAAACTAAGAGAGACTTAACCAAAGAGTAAGACAAAAATGAATTTCCAACCCTGAGATTTATTTGTATAAATAATCACCAAGAAAGAATTTCTTTTTGACTTTACAGAGTGTTTTCCTTAAAGTTCATAAGATACAGTTCTTACAATGTATGAAATCTTTTCCACTTCACAACTTTTTATTTTTTTTTTGTCTTACTATTGGTACAGTAAAAGATTTTTAAAAAATTTTTTGTTATTTGTCTCTCTGAAGAGTAAAGGAAAGTCCTCTATAAGAAATCTTTGCATGAGAAAGAAAAAAATCAGTCTCTGAAATTCATTAGAAATCTTAGGTTCACATATACAGAAAACTTCATATTCCTGGTTTCTCACCAAAACCGTAATAGTCTAAATGATTTAAGAACATAAAATAAAATGAAACTTCCAGGATAGTTTTTGGCTAACAAAAAGAGTGAGGAGCAGAAAATGTAATAAATTTGGAGAGAAAGGGGGAAGGAAATGTATGAGGAGTTAGATGAGAGCTTTATGAAAGCGGGAGTTACTGCAGAATATCATTAAGCAGGGCTTCTTTGGGGAAATCTGCTTTAACAGAAAGCAGAGCACAGTTTATTTTTTCTTATCCTTTCCTTAACATTCATCAACTGCCTCTTCGGTGAATCAAAGTGGCATTTTCTTGGTCCAGGAAAATCTCATCATAAAATATAGCAAAGAAAGGATGCTTCTTTGGTGTTATTTCCTTGCTTCTAAGGGGCCTCTGTGGCCCGCGGGGACTGGTGTCCCGGAAGAAAATACAGTATGAGTTCTCCTGGGCGAAGACAGGGTGCCCCGCTCACACTGTGCGGCGGAGACCCGTTTGTTGCGCATCGAGCGCTATTCGTCTCCAGTTTGAGAGCAAAATGCCCACTCATGAACGTGACCCCAGGCGTTAGGAAACAGGCTGGAGGCAGGAAATGCGGCCTCCCTGGCCGAGCTAGTGGCGGACCCGACGCTCCCCGGGCCGCGGGGATCCCCGAGCACCTGCTGCTCGGCTCTCTGCCGGGGCGGTCCCGCGGGCGAGGGGCGCAGGGCCGCGGGCGGGCTGGCGGCGGGCAGGGGGCTGGTGCTCCGAGCGCTGATGGCCGGGCGCCCCGGGGAGACGCGCCCTCTCCGCCTGGCAGGGGGCAGCCGCAGCACCCGCCCGGACCGGCGCGCCGCCAGGGCTGGGGAGGGGCGGCGCGGAGGGCGGGGGCCGGGCGCGGGGCAGGGCCGGGCCGGGCTGCGCGTCGCCGGCCGCTCGGGCTGCTCGGGCCCGCCGCTCCCGGACGCGCTCACCACTCTCCCGAAGCTCTGCGGCGTGGCAGGCGCCGCCGGAGCGCTGGCCATGAGGACCCTGTGGATGGCGCTGTGCGCGCTGGCGCGGCTGTGGCCCGGGACCCTGGCCGGCTGCGCCGAGGCGGGGCGCTGCTGCCCGGGCCGGGACGCCGCCTGCTTCGTGCTCGGCTGGAGGTTGGACAGGGTTTACGGGACGTGCTTCTGCGACCAAGCCTGCCGCCTCACGGGGGACTGCTGCTTCGACTACGCCAGGGCATGCCCAGGTGGGTGGCGGGGCCCGGGGAGGGGGGCGGGGGGCGCCAGCCCTTCGCCAGCAGCCACGGGGTACAGGATCCCACACCAAGAACCGCAGCCCGGGAGCCAGGATCCCCCCGGCCCCTTCCATCCTGGCGTGTCCGGACCGTCTATCCTGGCCTACCCCTCACCCCTCCATCCAGGTACACCTCCCTCCATTCTAGAGTCCGCCAGCCTCCTTCATCTAGGTGCACTCAGCTCCTACCCCCCACCCCATCCTAGAGTCCTCCAGTCCCCTCTCTCCCTCCAGGTACACCCAGCTCCATCTATCCTAGGGCCCTCCAGCCCCCTCCATCCAGGGATCCTCCAGTACTCTCCATCTACACATAGCACTCTAAAGCACCTCTCCCCATGAGAACCTGGATGGAAGGGGCTGGAGCTATCTGTTCTCCTGGAAGTGTGTGGGGTTCAGGAACTCCAGCCTGATAAGGCCCCCTCCTACCTGGAAAGATGGCATGTCCTTGGGCCAGGCTCCACTGCGTTCATTCTGTTAACCTTCAGGGATCTTCAGGGCCTTGTGAGCCGTGCAAAGGGAAGGGATGTGTAATTACCCCACTGGGTGCCCAGGGCTTGCTCTGGTAGGGTACCCACTTCTGCAGAACAAGTTCTCAGAAGACCACAGCGGTCCTCACTTCTGGACTCCAGCATGTGCCACAGCCCCTTTCTCCCAGGAGGTGTTTGATATGCTCGTTGAATTCAATTTTATCTCTATAGCATGATGAAGGTTTTTATCTGGGGGTTCCTATTATGTTTTAATCCTGCTGGTTTTCCTGTAGGGTCAGTCTTTTGCATCTTTCAATTTCCCACAGTATCACAGCCCCTGGTAAGGGCTCAATAGATGCTGATTTAAGTAAATTAAAAGATGAAGAAATGGTGAGTATAGTCCTAAAGAACAAGGTTTACCTGAGAGAAGCCAGCTCTAGAAATAAAAGTAACCTTGTTCCCTGCTCATATGCCTCACGTATGTTAGGGTTTGGCCTCAAGGAACCCTGCGTTGATATCCACGGCGTCTTCTTGGGAGAATAACCCGCAGGTCCGTGTCATTACTTGGGGAATCGGATGCCCTGTCGAGAAGCTGGAAGAGGCCACCAGCCAGGCAAGATAGCACCCAGATCTTCTCCTGAAAGAACACAATTGAAAAACATGAAGATTTTTTTGATCCTGTTTGAAAGCTAATGATTAACCTACAAATATTGATCCTCTTTTTGATAAGCCTCTCTCCCTTTCCTGCTTCAAGGCCAGGGTATTTTACTACTCAAGTAAGGTGAAGAGTCAGTGTTTTAGGAAATGCAGTCCCCCCGGGCCCAGGGTCCCCAGGGTGTCCGAAGAGCATTCGATGCAAACTCCTGTCTTCCCGTAGACCAGATAATGTGCCCCGCCCTGTGGGAAGCACAGGGCTACAAAGAAGATGAAGACACAGTCTCTGCTCCCTACGAGTTCACAGTCAAGCAGGGGACTACCCCTGCGAACCACCTACAACATGCTTGGTGCCCAAATGAGGGGTCCAGGAGGCTAGGAAGGGAAAACTCGGAAGACCCAAGGGATTCAAGGAAAACTTCCCGGAGGAAGTAACATGCAAGCATGGTCCTGGAGAATGAGCAGGAAGTCTCCAGAAGGGGAAGGAGAATTCTAGCAGGAAAGCATCACGTGGTCACTCGCAGCACCTGTGGTGCGGGAACTGGACTCGGTCCTGAGGCTATGCTGGTGGACAGGGCAGGAGGCGAACCCAGGTGGACCCGGAGAGACTCAGGCACGGAAGAGGCATGCGTAGAACAGCCCTGGGTCATGAGAAGAACTGGCTTTCCAGTGAGGGATGGCAGAGTCCTCAAAGTCTTCATTTGGTCACAAATAAATCCTGTCTTTTCGGTGCAGGAGGTTGAACTGTTCAAGCAAAGAGCCTCTCATTGGAGCGGGGATGTGTTGGGTAAGGAGGAGCAGAGAAGAGATGACCTGACCATCTTGGGAAGGTCTCAGCAAGGAGTCCTGGCACCTTGGCGCCTGAGGAAGAGCTGCGAGCGAGTGGAGGGCATGGGAGCTGAAACCAGAAAAAGAAAGGAGCCCAAAAGAATTTTTAAAAGGAGCATATTCAGCCTAAACTGCCCTTCCCCAGGGAGTTAGCGGAGGCCCTCAAAGGCCCTCGAAGAAGCAGACACGGGACCGAAAAGGCTCCTCGTTGAGTAAATCCTCTGCGCCTGGAATTTCTGGGGAGGAGAGGAGAAAATAGAGACGGTTGGAAGTTGGCCACTTGGAGGTTGGCCTGCTTGCTCTGCCGAGCTGAGGGTGAGAAGGGGCATGGCGGAGCCAAGATGCTCCATCTCCTTAGCTCCGGCCAGGCGTCCTGGCTGTGCACTCTCCGCTGGTCTTGCCGGAGCGTTGTACAGACTCGGGAGCTGGGGTGTCCCAGGGCTCTCCCATCACTAAGTTAACATGAATGGGCAGCACAGGGACGTCTGAGCCCATGGCTGTCCGACTTCGGGCTGCCATCTGCCACATCTGCTGTGCATGGTTGATATTGATTCCTAAATATATCAACATTCGGCAGCTCAGGGCCCTCCAGTCACTCCGTAGACATAGAACCATTCTGCCCCTTAGGATCTCTTCTCCTTACCCAATGTTATGTTACCTGTCGATGCCATCTGAAACCTTTTTGACTGAAATTATGTTACATGTGAACCAAAAAGCTGTGTCAGTAGAACTAAGAATGCCTTATTTCTCTGCCTTCTGATTTTTTTCTTCTTTGTAAAGACTTTTTTTTTTTTTTGGTGTAGCTAAGAGATGAAATACTGGAATTTCTTTTTCTAAATAGGACTTTTTATTTTTACTTAGTCAAAATAAAAATAAGTTATTGGATCTGTGGAATTACTGAACTGCCAAAAATATCTGTTCTGAAACAAATGATCTCAGAAAAATCTCATTATGATGTTGGTATTGGTTTCAACATCAATTATATATCTCTATACCCCTCCCCCCCCAAAAAAAAGGAATAGAAAATTCTCCATTGGCTGTGCCTGACCAGGGGAGAGGTAAAGGAGGACACAGATCCAAGTTACCTGCCCTGGACGAATTTCTTAGAAGGCTTCCTTTATTAGGCTCACGACGCCCCGGTCTCTAGCTCATCACCTGGGTTCCTAGAGTCTTCATTCTAAGATCATAGAAACAGTAGGCTGCACTGGATTTTTTGATGAGCAAATTCAGGAAAGAGTAATAATGAACCCAAGGGGAGCAGGGCAAACATTGAGTAGCCCATGTGAGCCAGTCTTTTCATGTAGATTTCCCGGGGAATCTAGAAACCTAACTGGCCCAAATCTGCTAACCACATATCTGGAAGGAGAAAGGGCAAGTGTACTGGAAAATATGGGCTCTAAAACTCATGCAGAGGAAGGATGTCACCGTCTACGGTGATTTAGAAAAGTTGAGGCTTTACTGGGAACCATAGCGGCCTGAGAGACAGCATGTGGCTTCCCCTGCCTTTGTCTCTGTAGGAAAAATGAGCAGGGCCTGGCGCCAGCATTCAACATGACTTGACTTTGCAGGCTTGGGCCGCAGCCCTGGGCATTCAGTGGAGGAGGGTAAAGTTGTTAACCCTTCTGCCACACTTCCTCTGTGCCAGGCACCTCACAGTTCTAGTCTTACTTAAGTCTCCCAACCCGCCGCCGTGGTCATCAGAGCGCTGGGAGGTTGGGAGATTCATCCCAAGTCATATGGCTAACAAGTGATGGAGTGAGATTTGAACCCAGGAACTCTAAGTCCAGAGCCCTTATGTTTAAATGTTATGCTTTGACCCTCCAAGGACTGAGGCTTTATGAGAAGCTGTGTACTTGGCAGGTCAAGCCCCAGATAAATACTGGTAGAGTGAGTGAGCCTTCTCTCTCCTTTGACTGATACTCCTCAAGGGCAAAGAAGTGTGGCCTGCCCCCCCTGAGAGCCATGGTGGTGTCACTGAATTATGTTTGTCTCAATAGCCCTAAGGGTCATTCCACCAAGGGGATGTTATCTGTGGCTGCAGAGGGCGCCCCCAGCTGGGCTGGAGCCACTTGTCCTTTTAAATATGACTCTTTCCTTCCTTGTCTACAAAATATGTTTGTTGCAGAAAACTTGGGAAATACAGAAATGCACAAAAGAAGAACACAACTCACCTGGACACTGACTACCGAGTAAAAGCATAATTATCTTTGTGATTTGTATGCCCTTTTTCTCTGGGCTTACATGGTGTATAAAATTCTGTTTTTTTCTAATGAGGGAGTCCTTTTTATTGTCCCTCTAGGATTTCATGAACTTGTCCAGTTAATATCTCAAAAGAAAACAAAAACCCACTGGGGGTCAGATAACATGGTTTCTGCAAGAGGAAAAAAATACTTGATCATTTTATTGGAGCTTTCAGAGGGGGCGGTAAATAGGCACTTGGGCAATGTAGTCTCATTTGACCTTCAGGGAAGATTTGACAAGATTTCTCAGAAAAGGGGATACATGAGGAAAGACAAAAAGGCCTATGACATTTAAAATCATGTTACCATGAGGGTGTGTGTGTGTGTGTGTGTGTGTGTGTGTGTGTGTGTGTGTGAGTGAAGGGGCTGTTTTATTTTTCTTCCGCAGAATGTCAAGAAACAAAAGCTATTCGTAAATGCTACTGGTGTGGGTAAAGTGCAAGAAGAATATTTTCGTAGCAGTGACTTAGGACTATTTGAACTTAACAACGTGAGGGAGAAAGCACTTGCTCGTGGGTGGCCTTAAACTTTTAGGGGGCAAAGAGCCAAGCAGGCAGGGCCAGATCCGTGATTAGCCAAGGAGACACTGCATGAACATGAGGGCAAGGTTTTATATTAAGACGAAAGAGCCCAAACTCTATGTAGGAAAGGAAGGATCAGCTGTCAGCTCAGTTTGTTGCTGTGAGTGTGTGTGTGTGTGTGTTATCATCAAGAAAAAGAGTAGAAGATGGGTTTTTTAGTTACCTTTTGGCACCTAAGACTGAGGATAGTGTGTGTGTCTAGTTCTGGTTGCTCCTGCTCACAGAGGCTGTGAATGGACCTGGAGAGGGCCCACTGGTAATTCTGAGGTGGGGGGTGGCTCTAGAAAGATGGGTCCCACAGCTAGAGTCATCAACCTGAAAGGTTCCTGCTAGAGAGGAAAGGACACCTCCTGAGACATGAAGTCCCTGAGCTGCATGGATAAGATAAACATAGATGGTTTTTTTTTTTTACCATATTCTGAAATTCTTGAGTGAGGGAAATTTGGATCAAATAAGAGGAAATACCGCTCCATGCCACTGATAATAAAATGAAACAAGCTTGTTATTTTCAAGATGTGGTACTGGCAGGAGCTATAAATGGATTTAAAAGCATTTGAAGGATTTGTGGCTGCCAGGAGAGGCTGGGATCTACATAACCTGAAGGCACAGAAAGCCACGCTCCTTCCAGGGACACCTTTTGGGGCCGCCATTGCCGGGAGAGCCCAGACAGCTCTTACCTTTTTAAGAATTCCCATATTTTTGGGGCGCCTGGGTGGCTCAGTTGGTTGGGCGACTGCCTTCAGCTCAGGTCATGATCCCAGAGTCCCGGGATCGAGTCCCGCATCGGGCTCCCTGCTCAGCAGGGAGTCTGCTTCTCCCTCTGACCCTTCCCCCTCTCGTGTGCTCTCTGTCTCTCATTCTCTCTCTCTCGCAAATAAATAAAATCTTAAAAAAAAAAAAAAAAAAAAAAAAAAAAAAGAATTCCCATATTTTTGGCTCTGGGAGCTTCTGATTTATTTTGCTCCTGTCCTTTAGCCGGCTTTCCTTTCCCACTCTGGAGCCTTAGTCAGTGCTTTGGCTTCTAACTAATGATATGAACCAACCAGAATCTGTGTCATTGTAGAAAATTTGTTTAGGAAGGAGGAGGAATTTGTCCAATGCCATTTCTTTCATTCACTCATTCATTCAACAAATATTTATTGAGCACCTACCATGTGCCAAGCACCAGGCACGAAATGAAAAGCTCAATGACAATAAAAAAGTAAATAAATATGTAAACTATGTAATTATGAATTAGGGAGATATTAGAAAGCAAGGAACACTGAGCTCTGAGAGGAAGTAATTTTCAGGTGTGGCAGGTGGGAGGCTGGAGGTGGCACTGGGAGAGTCCTTAGATAATCTGGCCAGAGAAGGACTCCCTGAATAATTCATCTGGGACTTAAAGGATGAACCAACCCCAGCCGTGCCCCATGTGAGAAGAACATTCCCATCAGAGGGACACACGACCAAGGTTCCGGAGTGTGAGAGAGTTGGTGTAAGGAGGCCAGACTGGCTGGAGCTTGGAGCAGGGGGGGCACCTCCAGGTGGGAGGGGAGGGACACAAGCTGGCTCACCCAGCACCTTGTCGGTTGCAGCGAAGAGTTTGATTTTTTTCCAAATTCAATAGCAATGCACTGAGAGAGTTTTAATTATTATTATTATTATTATACATTTAAAGCTTAGTGGAAAATCTTTTAAGGTACTTGTACTTGGATATGACTGGCTATCCCTGTGAGGACATGTGAAAAGGTGCTCTACTCTTGCTTTGGGCAGATTCCCTACTGAAATATATAACGTATTTCTCTGTTGTTGGCCATTCTCCTCGTGGTTGTGGTAGGGACATTTGATAACCAGAAAGCTCTTGAGGAAGAGGGACTAGCCAGAACTCCAGAAAGGACTTGATAATTCCTTGTACTCTGGATCTATCCATTATCTCGTTTCCTAGTGAGCTGAGAGCCAGGCTTGCCCACTGGGCCTAAAGCAGGAACTTAGGGATCTATGTCTCTGTTCTTTCTGTGCCTACTTCTCTGTCTCTGCTCTTATTGCACTTCTTGGGACCAACTCCCAAATAAATTACTTGCATTGAAATCCACGTCTTTATGAGTCTGCTTCTGGGAAACTCCACCTGAATATTATATTGAGTTTAAACAAAGGAAAAAAGAAAACAGCTTGCCGAGCATTCTGGCATCCGTTAAGCCTAAGCTTCTTTTTCTTCTGAAAGGGATGGGATGATGTCATTAAGTCCTAACCATTAGGACTTTGGGAAGCTGGGATGAGCTTGGAGTCAGGGATGATCACGTTGCTCACTAGGTCTATTGGCCTCCAGTAATAACTAGGGAAATGTGAAGATTGAGAAAGTCAGATTTTAAGAAAGAATATTTTGACATGCTGGCTATAGATGTGAATACTAATGGAATAATTCAAAGGAAATGTGTGTCATGCAGCTGTAATATATGACTTGAGATGATAAATCTGTCAGAAGTTCTCGTACTTCCCCTAGCCTCTGTGGCCAAAGATCTCTTATGATCTATGATGAATTGCACTCCAAACAATCAGAAGTTCACAAGTTAATCATGAATATAATCTTTTGTGTAACATAGGAATAAATACCTCAGATTCGCCTTCCAACTCGAAATATTTTTTGGAACTCCTTTATACTTGTATAATTCTATGTGAACTTTTTTTCATTTTGTCTTATAATGAAGCTGTCAAGATGATGCTCAGGACCCAGAACTTTCTGATTTTCTTTATGAAGCTGTTAAAGTCATGGATTGGAAATATGAGACATAGCATTTTCCAAGGTCAAATGTTAACTGATAGGAACAACAACTGATTCAGTGATTCTGTGATTTGGGGATGTTAATTGTGGAGCAAACCAAATAAAATAAATAAACATTGCACATGAGACACAAATGTTGAAGAAATACCGAGAAACTAGCTTCTTTCAGAAAACTGTCCCCAGTATCATCTTTTACCGTATGGATAGAGTGTCTTCAAACCGAGGCCATATTACTAAATTCTGAGTTAATGCCACGGCAAAGTTGTATTCTATAGTGATGTCCAATGTTAATCTTTTTTTTTTTTTAAGATTTTATTTATTTATTTGCGAGAGAGAGAATGAAAGACAGAGAGCATGAGAGGGAGGAGGGTCAGAGGGAGAAGCAGACTCCCCGCTGAGCAGGGAGCCCGATGCGGGACTCGATCCTGGGACTCCAGGATCATGACCTGAGCCGAAGGCAGACGCCCAACCGACTGAGCCACCCAGGCGCCCCCAATTTTAATCTTTGAAATAAGTGTCCCATTTTGTTTTTTTAAAGTATAATATTAAGCGTCGTTCAAGGCCAACACATCAGGGCAAGACTAACTAGGCTCAGGGATGAAGAGATTTGGGTGACAGAGAGAGTTGTTGGAAGACTTAAGGCCAGAAGGAGTGCTTCTCATTCAGCTCCTAGCCCAGCAGGCAGTCTCTTTCAGTGTGGCTCTAGGGCCCAGTGAAATCATGGGATCATGAAAATAAAAGGGGAAAGATCCACAAGAAATGACAAGAGCAGAAAGTGGCCTGTAACTGATTTTCCAAAAGATGTGTGTGTGGCAGGTATGGGCGACAAGTCTCACGTGCCTCACCCTTGCTTCCTTACCTACCTGACGTGGGACGCCTGTGAGTTTTTAGATGATTAATAAAAGCATGTTTTAAAACAGTCTGAAGTTTTTGAATTACTGACAGATGTTTATGTTGTATGGGACCCTTTTCGTGTCAGGGTGAGCTGCGTGCTGCCAAAGGATTGGTCTTCCAAAATCCATGAACCCTAAAGAGAGTGTGCTGAGAGGTCAAATGAGTTTTCAAGTACAAACTGTCAGCAGTCCAAGTCAAGATTTCAGAGAAGTTAGAGTGCTTTTTTGGTGAAGACTCTGTAAGCTTGAAAGTATGAGGATGGTAGGGAAAGTGGGTCACATTTTGTGGGAAGGAAAGAATTTGGGCCTCTAGTTCGGAGGTACATCTGTTGTTTTCTTATTCTTTTTCTTATAAACAGTCTCAAGTCCTGAAGTAATTCCACTGAAAAACTCATTATATTCATTTTAAAAGATTTGTTAGGACTTTCAATGGGAAAGTTAAGTATGCAACCACATAGATTTTCCAGTCATGGCCAGAGAATTGTCACTATAGCCAAATTCTTGCCCCAGACCTGCCCTTCATGCCTGACCATGAAAGCCCAGTCTTTACCTCTGTAGGCTCTCATTGCTCTTCGGCAAACCCCAACTCTGCTGTGTAGGGGTCTAAGAGCCATGGAGGATGAGAATAGAGCGCCTAAGAGAAGTCCCAAATCTAGAGGTCCTTTGGGGTGGCCCTAACCCATGACTGATGGAGAGACACACTTGGGGATAAGTGACTTGGGCATTTTCTTTTACATTTTTTCCCTCGATGCTTTCTACAATGAATACGTATTGCTGTTACAATAAAAATGTTCTGGTAGGGGAGGATAAAGTTATAATCAAGGAACTGTAAGAGCAAAGATCTTACCTAAGCCCACGGAGTATGAGGAAGTGCCCGAAGGCGTCACTCTCTTAACTCGGGGGCATCCCTGGCTCAGACCCACCCTCATGACCCCAGAAGAGCTGCCCATCTGCCCCGAAGAGGTGCGGGGTACCAGCTAACCATCCCTGTCCACTGAGCCCTGCTGAGACCGTGCCGCCCTCCCCACCCCACCCCACCCCCCGGGGCGCAGTCAAAGCGCGGTCTGCGAGGGCTAAGCTTGGCTGTTGGTGTTGGCGGCGCAGCCTGGCGGCGGCTGGGCTCACCCAGCCGAGAGTCCCATCCCCGCCGTGCTGTTTTTCAGCTCGCCCGTGCATCGTGGGGGAGTGGAGCCCCTGGAGCGGCTGCGCCGACCAGTGCCAGCCCGCGGCCCGCGTGCGGAGGCGCCGGGTGCGGCAGGAGCCCCGGAACGGCGGCGCGCCCTGCCCGCCCCTGGAAGAGAGAGCCGGCTGCCTGGACTACTCGACGCCCCAGGGCCAGCACTGCGGGCGCTCCTTCGGTACCGAGGGTTTCACGGTGGCCGCCTTTGTTGTCTGTGTTGACTTTGCATGTCGTCCTCCCCTAAAAGGCCATGTGCCGGGCGGGGGGTGGGGGTGGGTGGGGAGTTCCGTGCGCGGCGGGGGAGTGGGATGGGCCCTGCCACCCAGATAGGAAGCGCAGGACGTGCCTGATAAAGAAGTGAGTGTCAGCTGCATCAGGGCCTCCCTACTCCACCCTCTCCGTGGTCGGTGTGTTCTTAACCCCGGGATGGCCCCCCACTTCTGTGTGTGCCCTCCGCGGAAAGGACACGTGCGTTGTGATGCTTGGCAAACTCAAGCTGGCGACAAAGGACTTTAGGTAGGATGACAGTGTTTCACACCGGATAGTAAGTATCCATAAGGTAAGTATTCATCTTGCACCTTTAATTCCTGGGTAGTCAGGTCGGCTCATCACACACGTGTGAAGGTAATAGAAAAATTATTAATTCCTAAGCAGTGATAAATTATTCTCATAAAACACCTGCTCCTCCTCTCCAGCTGACTGCACTGGGGCTGATGTGATCAGATTTGTGATTTGAAAAGATCATTCTGGTTGTGGAGTGGCCAGTGGAGGGGCCAGAATTCCGCCGATGAATGAGTCAGGAGCTGTACAAATCTCACAAAGAAATAAGCCAAAAGACCAACACCAATGTGTTGACCTCGATTGAATCTGATAGCACGCAACACTGACTTCTCAGGATAACAAAGGTCATGTGTTTTTCATAGGAACTTGGAAATGTTTATACCAACATGACACTCATCAAGCCATTTTGCTCCTTTTTTTTCACTCTATGCACAAATATTTATTAAGAGTCTACTGGTTGCCGGGCACTGGGCTGGGTGCCAGGGTTCCATTGGTGACATAAGCTGACGTGAGCCTGCTGTCATGCAGATCGCGGTGTGGTGGGGGGTGGGGGGTGATAATCATGATCTTAGGAAATCAGTCCCAGAAAATTACAGCTGCAGTTTGGTGCAGCTGATCCTGAACAAGTGAGTTGTCTGGAGTTATGAGTGTGTGTAATAAGCTGATTTCCATAGGTCTTGGGGGAGGGGGGGAGCCACAGGAGTGGAGAAGGGAAGGGACTTCCCTAAGGAGGGGGAGGTAAGGCAGAGAAATGTACAACTTCCCAGACAGAGACTGGCATGATGTACCAGGTAGTCAGGTATAGGGGTTCGAGGGATTTGAGGGCTGATGTAGGAAAAACCGGACCACAAGAGGCGGTAATCCACAATAAGCTTTTTTGGTTGGTGCTTGGACAGAGTTGCAAGAGAAGCGGAAGTCCAGAGGCTATGGTGTGGGGACCACCATCCAGAGCGGGAGGAGAGGAATCTGCCAGGGGCTCTGTGTCTAGGGGATGGCAACTAAGCAGCATGGTCGGGAGTCTCTGGGTCAGAGAGTTTTGAAGGGCAAAGGGTGGTAGCAGCTTGGGGTCTTACAACTCCAAGGCTTTTTAGCTCATCGATGGCAGCAGATGCCAGGTCTGGTTTCACAGGGTATGTAAAGCAGGCAGGGCCTAAATGGCTAAAAATCTGCTTGTTTGGCAATTTTTAAAACAATTTGGGGGGCGCCTGGGTGGCGCAGTTGGTGGAGGGGCCGACTCTTGGTTTCCATTCAGGTCATGATCTCAGGGTCATGGGATCAAGCCCTGCATGGGGCTCTGTGCTCATTGGGGAGTCTGCTTAGGACTCTCTCTCCCTCTGCCCCTCCCCCCATGTTCGCTCAAGCACTCTCTCTCTCAAAATAGATAAATGAATCTTTAAAAAGAAAAACAATTTGGATGCATAAAAATTTGAGTTTGCTGCCAGTAGGCTTTGGGGCTAACAGTTGTCAGCCCGCTGTGCAGAAGTAAACAACCTAGAGACCATCTTGGGCTCATCTCTCTAACCCCGGGGAAGCAAAGGCCCATTTGCGAGGCTGAAGGAAGGCCGGAGTCTGGGGAACACAGAGAGTGGGGCTGGCATTGAGAGGGGAAGCGTCTGTCCTGAGCTCTGCATTTAGGATTTTGGTCTTTATCTTAGGAGCCCTGGAGAACTACTGTAGCATTTTCTGATGTGGTCAGATCTATGATTTGAAATGATGCCTCTGGTAGGGGAGTGGCTAATGGAAGGGCCAGGGGGGAGGTGTCTCGTGGACATGGCAGTCAGATGAAGCTCCCAGGGAAATAATTTAGTGCTCCCAGAAACAGTCGTGGAACAAAACCACAATCAGCTCACGTACTCTGCAGAGCCCGACAGAAAAGGCTCGGGGAGGATGTCGTTGTAGGACATTATTGGTTTTTTTGGATGACTCTTAAAACCTATAGCTGATCTATCAGGAAGCAGCTGCTTTGCTCATTTACTGGGTCTGGCTGCTAGAAAGGAGATCGTAAGTACGTTTGACTCTTTAGGGCTACACCAGTCTGTCACAGAACCCCTTTGCAGCCCCGTATCTCTTTATAACAGCATAATGCAGGTCACGGGAAAAGGGACAGGAAGGTCAATGAAGAGGACGCTATGGAACATGGGCCAAGGGCACCAGGGAGCACTGGGCCCACACCCTGCCCCCCAGGATTCTCGTCTCTGCATGGAGGTGTCCTCTCCTCTGTCCTCTGGGCAAAGCTCCCCGGGCCTGTCCATCTCCACATGTTCTCGTGTTCCCAAATTACCCCTCTCACCCACACTTCCCACCAAGCTCCAGTAAGAGGATTTTATAAAGCAGCAGTCTTCATAGGTGACTCCCCGCAAGGTGTTCGTGACTTAGAAATAACACCAACAGGATAGATCTGTGCTCAGTGGCCGCCTTTCCTAATAAGGTGAGGTAAAACCCGGTTTGGGAAGAGAGGAGAAATCTCTCCTGGCATTTGCAGCCCTGACTTGCGTTCCTGAGATGCACGTTCCTATGGTAATTCCGTGGAAATGATGACTGCTATCACAAGCTGGGCAGGGAAGACAGGACCCCTCGAATATTCCAGCAGGGTCTGCCTCAGCTGGGAAATTGTTAGAAAGGCAAGTTCCTCCGGCCTCACCCAGACCCACGAGATCAGGGTCGCTGGCGCTGGGCTTAGCACAGTGCTTGGAACCGGGCGTCCAGGGGACTCCGCTGCTCACCGATGTTCCAGAAGCGCTGCTCTAACCCAAATGTGGGTGCACACCTCTTCCCTCAGCCCTTGACTCATAGCTGGATCCCTTACATGCCACTTTCCTGAGGGCAGAGGCCCCCAAATGCAAAACAGGGGTTTAGTCAGGAAAACGTGGGGTAAATCAGACCATTTTCTCTAAGGAAGAATTTCTCAGAGGCTTTCTTATGCTAATAAGCATTTTCATTCTACAGGAGGGAGATAGGATATGCGATGCTTTCCCACCTTATTGGATTAAATGGCCCCTTTCCCTAGGGGATCTCACCGAATCACTAGTGTTCTGTGGAATACACCTGGGAAAATGATGGACAACAAAAGGAAACAAGAGCAGTGACGCGAAAATGCAGTTTGGTGGATCACCCTGAGCCCTGTGTCACCGCAGTTCCCACACATTCATTTACGTGGGTCATTCATTCAAGGTTCACTGAGCATCTACTACAGCCAGCGCTATGCTGGGTTCTGGAGATGCAGACTCGAATACCGAACCTATCAGCCAACTCCAGCTCAGGGTGCTGAGCGAGCGCCGTGATAGAAGGATGGGCAGATTGGTGTGGAGGCACGGAGGAGGAGCACCCTCCTCCACCCGGGGCTCTCAGTCGGGCTGCGCGGCCACCTGTGCCCGCCTCCCCGCTCCACTGGACTTGCTGCTGGCAGGGCGGGAGGCCTGGATGCAGGGCGGAGCAGTCCCTCACAGCTGCAGGGCGGAGAGCTTTTATCGACATTACTGATTCAGTGCTCATAGCGATCCTGTAGGAGAGCGTGCTTGCTTCCCACGGCCACTGTCACAAATTACCCCAAACGCTGTGGCTTAAAACAACTCAAATGTATTATCTCAGGGTTCCGTGGGAGAGAAGTGCAACCCAGGTCACCCTGGGCTAAAAGCAAGGCGTTGGCAGGGCCTGCATTGCTTTTAGGGAGGCTCTGGGGTAGAATCCGTTTCCTTGCCTCTTCCATCATCCAGAGATGGTCACCATTTCTCTCCTCAAGGCCCTGCCTCCTCCTTCACAGCCAGCTACATTGCATCTCTGTGCTTTCTTCTGTAGTAACACCTTTCTCTTCCTCTTTTTTTTTTTTTTTAAGATTTTATTTATTTCTTTGCCAGAGAGAGCACAAGCAGGGGGAGCGGCAGGCAGAGGGAGAGGGAGAAGCAGGCTCCTCACTAAGCAGGGAGCCGGATGCAGGGCTCGATCCCAGGACCCTGGGATTTTGACCTGAGCGGGAGGCAGACACTTAACCCACTGAGCCAGCCAGCCGCCCCTCCTCTTCCTCTTTGAAGGACCCTTGTGATTACACTCAGCCCACCAAGAGAAGCCGGGATCATCTCCCCATTTTAAGGCCAACTGAGTAGCAAACTTCATTCCATCTGCAACTTTAATTCTTCCTTATGAAATAACATAACATATTCATAGGTCCTGGGGATTAGGGTGTGGAAATCTTGGTGGGGCCAGTATCCTGCTGACCTTGAAAAGCCTCATTATCCTTGAGACCAAGAGGACATTGGAGCTCAGGGAGGTAACAGCATTTGTGAAGGACTTTCAGAATCTAACACTGGATCTCAGGGCTCTAAATCCTGCAGGGTTTTCCCTCTTGATATTGCTTTGCTGCTCCTGTTATCATTGGAGCTAAAATTGCAATTGCAGGTTCTGGTAACTAAGTATAGAACTAGAAAGGCTCTGTGAGACCTGTGAATGAAACAGGATCACCGAAGCTCTCTTATTAATGATCAAGTAGCTATTGAATTTTTTCCATTTCCTTTAATGCAGATCTTGACTCTATCTTTACCATAAAAACAAATCCAAAAAGCCCTATTATTGTATTAGTTGTACATCCTGACTCCTCCTAAAAGGAGATCGATGTGTATCATAAGCTGTATGCTTCTGGGCCGCTGTTATTTGTCACATTTTCATTCTGTTCCCTTTTAACGCTGTATCTACAGACCACTGGTTCTAAGCCTACCTTGGTGACAACCCATTGTGTCAGAGGGCTTTATGAAATTCCCTGAGCAAATTCAATTTATTTTCATGTTCAAAGTAAGTATGCGTGGTGCCCTGCTTTTAGAAGTGGAGTTGTAAAACCGAACAATGGTAGGCTGATAGGACTCCAGAAAAGTTGGCAAATGGCCTCTTAACACAGAATCTATTACATTTGGATATTGTTGCCAGGACGGGGGAAGATGGGGGACCTGGCTTTTATTGCGAGGCTTTGTCCCTGGGCACCTGGCTATGTTCTTCCACACATAAGCAGCAGTGGGACTGAAGGCAAAAATAATTTCTAAATTACTTACCACTCTTAAGTAATGGAAATTAAACTGGGGGGAGATATTAAAAAGTCACGCTGGCTCAGAGACCCCCAAGCAATGTGGCTGCTGGTCTGGTTTCTGGAGGTTTCTAGTTCAAGGAGGAAGTGCCCCCTCTCAGTAGAATGTGCCACTGAGCCAAGCCAGGGCTCGATGGGGCAGGACACAGAAGATATAAGGCCGGGGGTTCCTGGCTGGCTTTTAGGATAGGTCTTACGTACTGCAGAGGCTTGGCACTGAACGTGGACAGGAGATTGAAAAACCAGAAGCAATCTTCTGTGTTGGGGTCCTTGCTTCATCAGTTACTGTGAATTTTCCCTTCCTTTAATGTCCTTGAGTCTCAGTTTTCTGAGAACACATCAGAGCACCTCTTCACAAAGCTTATGTGGGGACCAGTCACAGAGGATGAGAAGGTACTTTGTAAAGAAGCAGGCTGGAAACATACAAGGTGCTGTCCTAGCAGGCATTAATCTGGGCCCACCGCGAGCCCGCCCCCCACCCCGGGAGCCCCAGGCCCCATCCCAACCCTCCCCCTCTCCCAGGGGGGCCTGAAGGGACACCAGGTAGGGGCTCACAATGTTCCTTTCCTCCTTTAAAGTTACTTCATATTAAGGACACATTAGGGACAGAAAGGGAAGATAAAACAGATGGGAGCCTTGAACATCTTCCTTAACCTCTCTGTGCCACAGTTTCCTCATCTGTGGAATGGGGAAATAATAGGACCTATCCCAGAGGGTGGTTGTAAGAATTAAATGCATTCACACATGAAAGGTGCTCAGCATTATGCCTGGAAACTTAGAAGTGTATCATTGTTAGCTTTCATTATTATTATTATTATTATAGAACTTTTTCTAAGGATTTTATATCAGATATTATAATCATATACTTGCCCTTTACCTCCTAACCTCATTTCCCCTCCCTGCCCCAAGCTATATATTAAGTGCGTTGCCTTTGAACTTCTGTAATAATACATGCGGTACAAATAAGGAAATCAAATACATGTTTTGAGCTAAAGAAACACATCCTGAAAATTTCATAGTTTGACTGGTCCAGTGCCACGTGGACTGAGCAGCAATTGTATTCTTCACTTGCTGAATAAACTCTTAAATGCGTCAGAAGAACAGAAATGGAAACAATACGTGGGAAAGCGAAAATCCTTTCAATGTTTGTGTTCCAGAGAATTAGATCTAAGAGAAACAGTAAGTTCCTAACATACATGCGCTCCCTTGTTCTTTCTGATTCTGTCCACAGGTTTGGGAAGTCCCAAAGCTATGGTCACATTTAGAAGGAGTGGCATGTTCTCTGGAAAACAATTAAACTTGTTAGCGCAGCAAGGAAGGATCTCACAGCTGGGACTCTGAGGGCTAATGCTAGATGGGAGTAATTTTCACACCAAAGAGATTAAGCACCAAACTACGTAGGACAAGAAGGATACCTGCAACTCTCAGGAGCAGGTGACTACCTGGTGTTTGGCCACTCTGGTCTTACGTTCCCTAGTCATAGCAAAAGGCCTCCCTGAGAAAATCTAAAAAAGAATTCGGGCTGCCATCTTGTGGCCAAAAGGAGCCAGTAAGGGGCCAGGGCAAATGAACACGTAGGCTTGACGCATCTGTTTTGCAGCCCTCTTGCCATTTTGCTCACATTGATGATGACTCTGGCAGCGCACGAGCCAACATCAGCTGGTCTCTACCCTTCCTGGGACGGTCCAGTTTCTGAAACGAAAGGTAGGAAGGATTGTTGAGTCATCTCAGCCACAGGGCTCAGTGTAGGAACAGAAGACCACAGGGAGGTAGGGCCCGGAGGCTTGGTGGCAATTCCGTGACTTCATTCACTCATTGAGCCACCATTCGTTGCCTATGTACTTACTGAGTGTGTCAGTGTGTGAGGGCCACAGTAATGACCAGGGCAAAACCCTGCCTTCCTTGAGTTGACCCCAGAATGGCATCGGGAGGTTATCTGCAGGTGCTGTACGTACCTAGCATCAGATGCTTCCCCACACTTAGCGGCCAACAGGAAGGAGGCATACAAACAAAATCAGTGAAAGGAGAGAGCAGAGGTGGGAGGATTCCTGGCTCCCTTTCTTCTCTCCGGGCCAGAGCGTCGGAGTGGGGTTGGGGCTGGGGACAGGGAGGGGAGGGGAGGACCAATCCGACTTTCCTTCCTCACACCGCCCCACCCCCCCACCAGGCTGAGGGTTGACATGGGGAGGATGCTGTGCTGGCCGGCACCAGGCAGTCACCCTGAGGCCACAAGGCAGGTGGGGAAGCTTCCGGGCTGGGGTCGCGAGGACCTTATTGGGGGGGGGGCACTCACACCTCTTCCCTTGGTACTTCTGTTTTCTCCTTTTCACATTTCCTCTTTCTCTCTCTGGTGGTCTTTTTTTCTCCTTACATCCCCTTTTCTCTCTCTCTTGTCTTCTTCCTCTGTCCTTTCTCCCTCCTATTCTACTTTATTCTTCCTGTCTTTCCCTTTTCTCCTCCATTTCTCTTCCTTTCATCTTTAAAAACCTTCTCTCCCGGAGTGCCTGGGTGGCTCAGTCGTTAAGCGTCTGCCTTCAGCTCAGGTCATGATCCCAGGGTCCTGGGATCGAGCCTCGCATCGGGCTCCCTGCTCGGCAGGAAGCCTGCTTCTCCCTCTCCCACTCTCCCTGTTTGTGTTCCTTCTCTCCCTGTGTCTCTCTGTCAAATAAATAAATAAAATCTTTAAAAATAAGTAAATAAAAATCTTTTCTCCCTTTCTCCATTCCCTCCTTTTCCCCCTGACTTACCTGCATCTTTCACTACTTCCTCTTGGTTTTTATTTCTGGCCCCCCTTCCTCCCCTTTCACACAGTATCAACTTATTACCAAGGGCAAGCCTGCCTGTCAGAGGCCTGCAGTTCTCCCTGCCCATCGGCATGCACACAAATCTTCTTCGAACTGCGTTCTGGGGACACGGTAACTTGGCCCTGTTCCATTCCTGGTGATGTGCCGCGGCCCTTTGCACTTAGGGATGGGGGGCTCGAGACAGGATTGACATCAAGTTTGGGAAAGGTCGTTCCGAGTACTTTAGGCTGCATGTGTCCAACGCCCTTCTCTCTTTCCTAGTCCCTGCCTTTATAACTACCTCTGCATTCAACAAGGAGAGAACAAGACAAGCTGCCTCTCCACAGTGGTCTACAGTCACAGAGGACGCCGGGTAATTTAGTGTTTTTGTTTTGTATGGTTTGGTTTGGGTTTTTCAGCTTATGCTTTTCCAGGTGTATGGCCAAGTCAGCCCGCAAAGCTTGTCTTAGTGTGATGGGGGTTCTTCTCTTACTTGTTTGTTGACTTTGGGTAAAACATGACTCTTTACCACAAAGCTGGGACCTACTTGTCTCTTCCATTTTTGTGAGGCTGCAAAGATTTGTCTCTGAGGTCTCATCAACAAGAAACACGCTATATAAAATGATGGTATCACTTCATCAATCGTACTCAGGATGTTCCTCTTAGAGTCATTAGGAGAATATGGACTCTAGCACCACCTGTGTTTGGTTAATTTGAAAGTGGCCCACACATCAGCTCTGAGAATTTCTGTCAGGACAGAAGGCACAGCCTGGGTAAGCCATGGTTACCTGAAATCCGTTCTTCAGCTGTCAGCAGAGGGACCCCAGTCTGCTGCATGTTCAGACCACCCCCACCACGGCCATGCACTAGCCGTAAGACCCTGGATGTGCTGTCCCACCTCAGGTTTTCTTCTTGAAAAATGAGAATATGAACGCCTACCACATGGCGTTGTAAGGAGAATTTAATGAGAAAATAATGAAGAGATGTCTGGGTTAAGCTGTCGGACTAAAGTTAATTGAAGCTTCGCCATAGAATTTCTTACCTCACTACCTAACGGTACCTAATAAATGGTCTACCCCTGTTAAAGCTCGCGGAAGCAGACCCTCCAATCACTTTCCATCTAACCTAGGACAGCTCATAATTCTATGGATAAGAAACTAGCCCAGTGGAGCTTAATTAGAACCAAAAACACAACATGCAGGAGTTTTACTATGTTTTGCTTCCCTGAAGAATTGTAAAATTATGTTGCTTTTTAGTACAAGACTCTAAAGTATTCACCCATGTCTGGATGCTCCCCCCAGGCCTTCGGAGTCTAGTCACTATAGTGCTAGAGATTTCCACAGTTCAGTGTAAGGTGACACTAGGCTCTGTCACAGAAAAACGTCTCCAGCTTCCCATTTCCTTTTATCTGTGATGCCCAATATAACTTTGATGCTTGGATTCAAGTCCAAACTCATCATTAGCCCAGATCCAGCAGGTGAGCTGGGTGGGGAGCATGGGGAAGGTCCCTGGGAACATCTGTGGGGCAGAAAGTCATGGGTGTCGGGCAGGGCACTGAGGACCAGCCCTCTAGGGGCTCACACATTCTCAGACTTAAGACTCAGCAAGTTCTTACTCCATTTTCTCTTATTCTTTATCAGCAAAGTTATTAAGTGCTATTTTCTTACTGAAATGTGCTTTTTATACACAATGTGGTGGTTAGATTAGATAGAAAACAGTATATCCAAATTTCTGCAGACTCCTGTTGACCAGGTAACTCAATCAGGGGTTGGAATAGAGCCCCAAGCTTCACTGTAGTTGCCAGTCGGGCACCGTCCATCATCACAGTTCGGCAAATGAGAAACTTTACAAGGCATTCTGTGGCCAGTGCATTGCCTGTGAGGATGCACCAGACCACGTTCTCCAGTCCATCAAATGTCCGTGGGGCTTGCAGGCTTCCTAAGACTTTACAGCGTTAGGCTGTCTCTCATTACGGCAGGGGCAAGTGTCCCGTTTTCTGCTCTAGATACTGTATGGAGTTCAAGACAGAGTCATTGACTCATCACTGCGCTATGGAAAATCACCCCCTGACTCGATGGATGCAGTATCTCCGAGAGGGGTACACAGTGTGCGTCGATTGTCAACCCCCAGCTATGAACTCTGTGAGCCTTCGCTGTTCCGGAGATGGCCTGGACTCAGATGGGTAAGGGAGGAACACTGGTTGAAGGACGTTCCTTATTTTTCATTTGAAGAGATCTGTCCTGTGTCCCGAACAGCAGACTGTTGTTACATAGCATATCAGGGCGTGATTTGGGAGTCTAAACACCAAGTAAGGAGAACCCTCTGTCTAGCGATTCCTGAATCCAGGGCCCAGTTTACACTATGGGACTCAGAGGCTCTATAGCAGAGATGAGTGGGTAAATTTGGATATAGGGGTTCATATCATGCTCCCAAATGACCACTGGAAACCTGATCACTCCAAAGCAGTGTTTTGAAAACCACTTGAATCAGAACCTCTTGGGATGGTGATTCAAAAAATTCAGATTCCTGGGGCACCTGGGTGGCTCACTTGGTTAAGCGACTGCCTTCAGCTCAGGTCATGATCTCAGGGTCCTGGGATCGAGCACCATGTCGGGATCCCTGCTCAGTGGGGAGCCTGCTTCTCCCTCTCCCTCTGCCCCTCCCCCCCACTCATGCTCTTTCTCTCTCATAAATAAAAAATCTTTTAAAAAAATAAAACATACAGATTCCTGAGCCCCACTTGAGATGAACTGAATCAGAATCTTTGGGGGTGGATTTTTTTTTTTTTTAAGATTTTATTTATTTGAGAGAGACAGAGATAGAGAGAGATAGGGCATGGATGGGGAGGAGAGGGAGAAGCAGGCTCCCCACTGAGTAAGGAGCCCCATGTAGAGCTCGATCCCAGGACCCTGGTATCATGACCAGAGCTGAAGGTGCTTAACTGACTGAGCCACCCAGGTGCCCTGGGGGTGGATTTTTAACCATCTTTTAGGTCAGGAGTAGGCAGATAGTCGATAATTTCAGCTTTGTGGGCTCTCTGGTCTCACTGCTCAACTCTTGCTATCACAGCATGAAAGCATCCCTAGACTTTATGTGAACAGATGAGCTTGGCTTTGTTCTAAAAATACTGTATCTGTCGGGGCGCCTGGGTGGCTCAGTCGTTAAGCGTCTGCCTTCGGCTCAGGTCATGATCCCAGGGTCCTGGGATCGATCCCCACATTGAGCTCCCTGCTCCGCGGGAAGTCTGCTTCTACCTCTCCCACTCCCCCTGCTTGTGTTCCCTCTCTCGCTGTCTCTCTCTCTGTCAAATAAATAAAATCTTTAAAAAAAAAATAAAAATACTGTATCTATGGACACTAAGATTCGAATTTCATATAATTTTCATGTGTCATGACATATTCTTCTTTTGATTTTCTTTAAAAACAAAAAACTATTCTTAACTCACAGACCACACAAAAACAAAGGGTGGGCTGGATTTGGCCCGTGGGTTGGGGTTTGCTGACCCCTGCCCAGATGATTCAGTCCCACAGCAATGTTTCAGAACCACTGCCCAATGGGAGTAGTCCTAAAACCATGACTGAGAGGGTGGTAGGCTCAGCTTTGCAGGATCAGAAACCTACAGGAATCTATAGATAGTCCAGAAGAATTGACTCTGAAAAATCTATCCCAATCCTATACTCATTTATCAGTTAAATCTGATAATAACACTCTTCCTAAGAGAAGAGTAGACTTCATGCTGGTCAGCTATTGGACAAAGACCAATTTAAGTCACACGTGGATTATGGTTTTAAGTATGTCAGGTGGAACTCGTAAAAATACAGATTAGAAAGTAAAAGAAGGACCTTCCCAGCTAGTCATTACTCCCATAGTATATTTTAATATTTAATAACTTGAATTTATGTTTACTAGTCACTTGTGCCTAATAGCCTTTGTAAGGAGTACACCACATCGATAGTAAAGTAGGTAAGACATTCATATCAAATAGAAACCAAATCTTTAGACTTAATATTTTTCTGAATATCTCATCCATATTTTGTCTTTAGGTGAATTTGTAATTGAATTTGTCCTCAGAAAGTACCTTAAACCCTGGCTGAGATTCCAATGACTTTAAAAGTAATAATTTCAACAATCTGGCTTTGCTTTTCCTGCTTCTCCCATTTTTTCATTATGGAATCAAAGAGTTGAGGATTACAAGAGCTCATTTGGGCAGACCCCTCTAATTTAAATATACATGAAACAGGGACCCATTTTCCTTTATGTAATACTTCGTATAGTCAGATCAAGTGGGAGAAATGAATACAGTAACCTCAAACTGCTCTCTCAACAAGAGGGTATCCTCAAATAGAGATTAATTTGTAACTTGTTTTGATGGAACCCCTAAGAAGGGAAACTCAGTTTGTGATCATTTTTTTTTAATTTCAATTTTTAATGCACTTTAAAACTCCAGGTATGATAATTCTTTGATCAACAACAAAACACCTCAATTTATGATCCTGTAAATTAGAATTTTTTGGTTTGCTTTCAGCGTAACTAACATTTTCAAAATATCGTTTCAGAAATCAAACTCTCCATTGGCAAGCAATTGGCAATCCTCGATGTCAAGGAACTTGGAAAAAAGTTCGGCGAGTAGATCAGTGTTCTTGTCCAGCTGTTCACAGTTTTATTTTTATATAGATTGCGATGTAAATATTTCACAGTGTGTTTGTCAACATGCTAAACCTAACCAAGTCATGTGAAGTGCTTCATAAACCTTCAAAAATCATCTGGCCAAAGTCCCTAGAACACTTGTTGTTGCCACACTCCGAAGTAGAGAAAGAAAGTGCACGGGCCCATTCTCAAGATGCCCAGTACCTTTGTTTTTATGTTTACTACATTGAGGACCTACCCTAAAGGTTCCTGTGGTTTTGTGACCTTGGCCTTCTACAGAGTCCTCTCATTCAGAGGTCGCCCACACAACACAGAATGCATGTCCATTTGCACTAAAATGACTACAATATGGTCCATTTATTGGTGAGTAGTTGTCATTTAAGGGCATCCGTGCTTTGAATCTTGCATTCCTTCTTTCTGTTCTGTAATCTCTTAAAAACTTCTCACTTGAAAAAATGTATACAGATATATGTATACTCTCACACGTACAGATTCCCATATATTATTCCATAAATTGTGAAATAATGATTTTAAGAAAATAGTCACAAATGATTTTCACAGGACAAGTTAAGATTTAGTAAGCGTTTTGTAATGAAAAGCCAACAGCTATGTTAAAAACACTTTTTTGAAGAAGAAATTTTCTTTGGTTAATTGACAATCAAATGTTCATTCTAGGTCAATAGAAGTTCCTTAAATGCTATAATTTTCATGAAGAGAATTTTGGCACCGATGAATGAAACAATGCTTTAATTATGAAAATTTTACCATCATTAGCACCTAAGATTATTTCCAAGGCTTAAAATTTGAAGCTGACTAAAATAATCTTTCAGATTTAAGTTTAAACTAACTTCAAGCTTAATTGAGGTAAACTTACTACTTTTTTTCTACAGCATACATTTTCTCCTGTTTGGGGTAGAAGGCAGTTATAAATTACGGAAGACGTGGATTTTATCACAAATGCGATGATCACACACACACACAGAAGTATTCGTCTTCTATTTTATGATTGGAAAACCAGTGAGCCAGAGACAAAGTGGCTTAAGGATGGGTTATTCTGCAGGTCAGCCAGAGCCCACTCTCAGTTTCTCATCCAGGACTCACTCAGCTTCGATGAAAAACCTGACTATGCCAAAGATAGCTGGGAAAGCTAAGTCCTTTTCAATTCTGAAACAAATTTTAAATTTAGGGTATTTCTCTGGAGAACTGCATCTTAAAATTTAAACTCCTGCAGTTTCATTTATATAAAATATTATTCACTAACAAATGATTTACTAAAATACATATTTCTTGGTACTTACGCGTAATGACAAGAATGACAATAGCAGACTTAATAGGGCTGGAAAAGTCCCTAATATTTAATGCTGAGGGTAGCAGTATTTCTGACTATATATTCATTTAACTGTCAGAGTTGTTTTTATGGTAAATTCTTCAGGGATTAATAATAAAAAATTTGAGTCTCATCAAGGTTAGGACCTTAAACTGTAAGTTCAGTATTAACATTTTAAGACCATTTCTAACCTTTGTAAAGCAAGATTTTTGAAGATATATCTGGGTAATTTTAATGTTACTTAATTAAAATTTTTATACCAGTTAATAAACTCTCTGTTCACATTTTTAAGAGGTCTTTACTTGTTTGACTTGAAAATACCAACATTTTCTGGACTGGTCAGAGAATGAACAAAATTTCACCAAAAACAAAATTTAAAAAACCCCTCAGAATTGATAGGCATACATATGGAGACTATCAGCCATAAAGCTGCTGTATTTATGGTTCCAGGGTGTGTTATATCATTTAACATATTTGAGTTGTATAAAATCATTTTTCACCTTATGTATTTAGTTTTTAGTGTTGGCCATTTATTACTTTCACAGTGAAGTATATTTTTGTTATTTCTATTCTTGAGAACAACTTCATAGGCTAGAAGACTTAACTATTAGTGTTTTTTAAAAGCTTGTTATTAATTCTAACGGAGTCCTAGGAAACAGTTCAGAACTGAAAATTGTAGTCCAAGCGATTAAGGAAGAACCAAAAGTTTTATTTTCAAGGTTAAAGATCAAAGTATTTAAGAACTCTTCAGTATTCGTTCTCATTGAGTACAAAGGGCTGGCCCTGCCACAGGCATTCTACAGTGATATGCATACCCTAGAATTACTTAATAGGTTGATTTTTCAAAAGTGTACGTGGTAATTTGAACAAAAATAAATATACCAAAAAATTATATGTGTGTATATATATATATGTTTATATATGTGTGTATACACACACACACACCCCCAGGAAAAATGAAGAAAGGAATTAGGGATGGTGATCACTCAGAAGGGGAGAATGATAAAGAGATGGAAAAAAAAGAAAAGAAAAGAAAAAGGATCAAGGTGAATTATAATCACACTATTCTCTTTTTAGGATCTTTCTTGGGATGTTTTTGAGAATGCTATAATTAAGCATAAATATCAACAGCAATAATTTAGCCATCTTCTCTGGTTATGCGCAAAAATGATGCAAAATAAAACTGGTTATATTCTCTAAGAACATTCTAGTGAATATTCATATAAATAACTCAAGTTGACTTAGAAAATAAAGACCTGGACATTCTGAGGTATAAGCAATCAGGTGATGAGCATATTGAAAGAGAGGTGAACTGTCTAGACTAGTGACAAATGGATACACATTTACCCTCTCTCCTTCCCCAAATCCAATTGAGATTACAGGATTCACAGCAGAGAAGTCCATAACATAGCTGGGGAGGGCGGAGGTGGTGGTAGGAATCACCCCAAAATCAGAAACTTTGAAGAATTTTTTTGAAGACTGCAAGAAAATGGGCTTCTCCTGATGGCTAAACCAAAACAGAGAGTGCACATGTAGAAAAGAAGGTGGAATCAGAGGTGAGAGCCATTCTTCCTGGGGTGGAGAGGTCCCACTGAGCAACAAACAAGATGCATTTTAAACATCCTACCACTAGAGACAAATTTGTGAAATTTAAAATCAAGGATAAAGAAGAAAGAGAAAGAAAACCCAGATTACCTACAAAGGGACAAGAATTTTCATGGGAAGACACAGTGTTCTCATCAGTATCCTTGGATGCTTGAGGTCTAATGGAATAAAGCCTCCAAGCACTGAGGGGAAAATAATTTTGAAACTAGCATTCTCTGTCAGCCAAACTACTAATAAAGTGTGAAGGCAAGATACTGATTTTCAGAAGTATAAGGACACAGAAGCTTTAGCAGAGTCCTAAATAGGGTTTTGTTTTGTTTTGTTTTTCATTTAAACATGGCAGGTTGAACATATATTTGCCTCCCAATTTCCAATAAACTTGAAGGACTTTTTTTAAAAGATAAAAAATATAATGATAAGAGGATCAAGAGAGACAAAGATAGCAGGAAAGGGATGGCCACCAGATTTTGGACCAGAAAAGCAGATGGCTGTCTAAGAAGAGAGGAGAAAGCCAAATGCCTACTGGAGTGAATCTGGATGAGCAAGGTAATTTACAGCACCTTGGAAAGGTTCCAGATACTTCCTTTAATGGAATGGTTGACAGTTGGTATAAGAAACAGAGCCTTAAATTCTCTCCAGCCAGGCAACAGCCTGACAGGTCTACTCTTGGGAGGGACTCCAGATTGGAAACACCGGAGACAGCAACTGAGAACGGAAACTGAGTGAGTCTCCATTCTGAATGGTGACCCCCAAGTCTCTCCTCCACATGCTCTGAGAATACTGCAACCAGGGGTGTATACTCCCCTCCCACACTCCCACTCTCATCCGCTCACAGCAGTTTGTTAGATTCCTCTCTGAGGAAATCGATCATCCAAGAGAAACGACTGCAGGTACTGACAGCTAAAATAGCCAAGTTCCTGTCCCATCACTACACAGGGATACCTTGATCTTGACATGGGAGCACCCATCAGTGCTCACAGAGCCTCCTGTCAGCTTTTTTTTTTTTTTTTAAGATTTTATTTATTTATTTGACAGAGAGAGAGAAAGCGAGAGAGGGAACACAAGCAGGGGGAGTGGAAGAGGGAGAAGCAGGCTTCCCGCTAAGCAAGGAGCCTGATGCGGGGCTCGATCCCAGGACCCTGGGATCATGACCTGAGCCAAAGGCAGATGCTTAACAACTGAGCCGACCAGGCATCCCTCCTGTCAGCTTTTTCATTCTCCCTCATAAATATAAATGAACAGCCCAGGACAAGCAGATATTTGAGGAAAACCACTAACAGAGAAACCAAAATTAAATAGAAAAAAAGCAATATAACAAAACTCAGAGGCAATAAACAATGCCAGGATCAAAAGAGATGAAATAATATCAATCATGAAATAAGAACAGGATGCCCAGAGAAGGAAACATTAAAACTTCTTAAAAAAGGAGAATTAAAACCTCTTGGATATTAGAAAGATTGATAATAGATAAATGTTGTAACATTTGGAAGTTAAGCAATATTTTCCCCAGAAAGTAAACAAAAAAATTAAACACAGAAATTAGGAGACAAAAGATAAAAAATTAGAAGATCAAAGAGACCCAACATCTGGATAATGGGAGTTCTAGAAAGAGAGTACAAAGAAACTAGGAGGGAGATTACTCAAGAATAATATTTTTCAGAACTTAGCATATACATTGCCAAAGCCACTGAGTGTCTGTCTCATTAGTTAGAAAAAAAAAAAAAAAAGATTCCCATTAAAGCACATTACCATGAAATTCTAGATCACTGGACACAGAAAAGAATCTAAAAGCTTCCAGAGAGAAAAATGTAGGTCACATGCAAAGGATCAGTAACCACAATGGTTAACAGACCACTTGAAGCAATATTTGACCCTAAGGAGAAGAAAGCAATGCCTTTGAAATTCTGAGAGAAAGTATTTTCCAAATTAAAATTCTATATCCAGTAAAACTGTTAGTCAAATACAAGGATAGAATAAGAATATTGTCAAACATGTAAGATAATAGTTTTCCATTCTATGCATCTTTTCTTGAGAAGGTACAGGAAGAGGAGCTCTACGTAAATGAGAGTATAAACCCTAAGAGAGGGTCCAGGAAGTAGGAAATCGCATGAAGGAGAGATGATTGGGATCCCCAGGACAAAGATAAAGGGACATGTAAGCTTGACAGCTGTGCAGCAGGCCTGGAGGGCAGCCAGACGCATGAGAGCAGGAGGAAGGAGGTCACCAAGAAAACAATGAAATCAACAGAATATCTGACATATTTCACAGTATATTCAGAGATTTTTCAGCTGGGTCAGAGAATTTGGAGATCATAAATGATGGGTATACACAGCTCAGGTGTACGTAACAGAAAACTATTATAATACAAACACTGATTACTGACTTAACCAAAAATGGATACAAATACTCTGGAAGAACTGGGGAGGAGAAGCATATGTATGGTGCAATGTGTGTGTTTGCAGGGTTTGGGGGGAGAGCATGCAAGAGACCTAAAACCTCACCCTATATAGTGGGGGGGGGTCAATAATCTAATATCTCAAACTGGAAAATAAACAGCAGTGTGAGCGTATTTTTTAATAAAAATTTTTAATTTTAATAAATTTTTATTAAATTTATAAAATTTTAATAATTTTTTGATTTTTAATAAAAATACGCTCACTTGAGAAAAGAGTTGAAAAAGTTGAGAATGGTCACCTTTAGGGAGAATTGAAAGGCAGTGGAAGGGAAGAAATGTTTTCCATTTTAAGCCATGTAGAACAATTTTATTTTTAAAACTATGAACATGGATTACTTTAGTAAAAATGGAAATAAAATTTCCAAGAAAAAACTGAAAATATAAGTATGTCAAAATGTGAAGCAAACTAAAATGTGACATGGTTTTGAGCTACTAGGGTAGGGGGGATGGATAGAAAGACACAATGAGAGAGAGAGAGAATACAATTTACCTTGACACTTCTTTGAGTTGCAAGAATTCATGATTACAAGATTACATTTTTTGAGTTAGTCACACTCCTAGGATCTCATGTGAATAATACATGGTATAGTCATAATACAGGTTTATTGGTTTCTGATTTTTTAGAATTACTCCATATCGAAGGCACAAAATATTTCACTATAATTGTTAGACTGAATGCTAAAAATGAATCAAACCAATCCAAACAAACAGAACCCTTGGCAATGTAATAGGGACGGGCATAGGAAGCTGGGGAGAGCGGAAGTGCTGAGTTTAGGGGTCCTGATTTCCTCATCCTACATTGGAGTCAAGGAATCCTGTCTACAGCTGAGGGCATAAGAGAAGCTTTAGTAACTCAAAAAAGAAATACATTGGAGGAAGCTCAGGAGAAGCATGGGAGGGAAGGAAGGCAGAGGTGTGAGGCGAGTTAAATGTCTCCTGTGTCCTATCGGGGAGTTACGGTAATAGCAACAGCCAAGCGTAAGTTATCAAGATATGGAAGCATAAGCAAAAGGACTCATTATAGGATTCATTTGGATAACAACTCATCAAAGTCGTTACTGTTGTTTTTATCCACTTGGTAGTGGTAGAAAGCCTTAGAATTAGAGAAACTTAAAAAATAGCATCTCTGAAATAATGAAAAAATTCTTGACAGTGAAAAATACACTTCAATTACAGGCATATTTGAGGAATTCTTGTATATTTTACTTGCTGCTGCAGCTGCCAAGTTCCACTAGTATTGAGAACACTGAGCTAGGCTTTTTTATGAGGGACATCAACATTCCTGGACTAAAGAGGGAAGAGAATTCTGCCCCTTTTTTCTGATAAAGAAAACTTCTAATTGCGGGACATCAGCAGTACAATAAAAGTTCTGTCACCAATGCGATTCTGCCAATGCAAGTTAGAATAAATGAAGCTTGATTCCTCATCTGTGCCATGTAATTATTAATACTGTTCTGCCTCCTCATCAGGGTTTTGTAAGAGTTATAATCCATGCAAAGTAAAGCGCTCACAAATTTATAAAGACAAAGACAGATGTGAGCTCTTCATGGACTCAAGTGGAAGGGAAAACATTCTTTAAATAATTTTCTTGTAAAAAACAAAGACACTGAAAAAGTATTCTTTTCCTTTGAGAGGTGTAGATTATATAAACCATCACACTTCTTGTGTCAAATTGTCTTTTTATTCTTGCTCTCTCAACACAGGATAGGTTTAAGTGAAGGCTTGCTTTAAAGTATTTTGACATATGAAGGTGTTATGTTATGTTTTTTGGCTCTCAACTGCAAATTCCTTTCTCTGCCCTGCTTTGTGATCCTAGAGCTAGAACTCCTGCACACAACTCTTGACATAACGGTTAAGCTTTATCAACAGAGGGCGCTGGAGTGACTCCGAGTGTCGGTGACAGCAAGACCACTCCCTTCCAGTTCCGGCCCTGTTACATAGTGTGGGAGCCACGTGGATGAGCTCCGTCATCCCCACACCGCCCAGTAATGGTGGGCTGCTTTTTCAGACCAGCACCACCTGTACCCTCTGCCAGTCTCTTCACCTGCAGCAGGCTGTGCTCCACCACTCGGCAGAGGGAGGGGGGCCCATATACAGCCAGTAGTTACCATCTTCTCTTGCTCCGAAATGGGGGCAGAAAGCAAAGCCCAAGGCCAGGCCAAGGTGGGATGTAATTAAACAAGGATGCCAAAAGACTGTATTCTTAGAGGAAGACTGAGCTGGAAGTAAATCCAAAACGGTCCCCTTCTCCCTAAGGAATTGTGGGAGTATTACCTTGGCCTAATGAAGGCTGTCACCACAGTCTGCTGTCTTGTGAATCTGCACCCCAGATTCTCATCACCAGGCTGGTCTTTAGAAACCCCACGCTGTTAATTTACTTTAAAAGTGGTTCCCAACTTGGAAATTTCCAAACCTGGAAGGAAAAAAATGAGAATTGAAAGACATTCCCAGTTTCAGAAGTAACTGCTTCCCAGAACAAAGTCCTACATATGTTAAAGAAAACAAAATCTAGAACTCAAAGGCCAGGGCCAGCAAACTACAGGCTGCAAGCTAAATCTTGCTGCGGGCTGTTTTTGTAAATATAGTTCTACTGGAACACAACCACACCCACTCATTTAGTATTTACGTGTATGGCTAATTCCAAGCAGACTCGGCAGGCCGTTCTGCCCAAAAAGCCTAAAATATTTTATCTGGCCCTTTATAGAGAAATCTTGCCAACCCCTGGCTCAGACCACTGACATTTAATATAATTATTGACGTGTTTGGATTCCAGTGTGCCAATTCTTGTTTGTCCCTGTGGTTTCTTTTTGCTTCCTGTTTCCCCTACCTTTCACTTTCTTTTGAATTATTTGAATAGTTTTTAATATTCCATTTTTAATTTATCTGTTGGCTATATATGTGTTCTTTAAAATGGTTCCTCTAGGGATTACAGTATCATACCCAGCTTTTCCATTTATTTAGGAGTTAATATTATTCCTAATATTAGACTTCATGTAAATTGGAAAAGCCTTGCAGCAATAAACTGAAACAACTTTGAGCCGGAATATAAAAATGGACAATGGGTAGACCTTATATGACAACAAACTCTGACCCTATGACCTCTGCGGCAACCAGTTTAGGGCACCGAATGAAACCCCTGCAGCCGCCCACTCAGAATGGTCGAGACTCAGTTGATGACTGCCAACATCCTGATTTTTTGTCCAGACTCAGGACCGAGCAGAGAAAGGCAAATATGTTCCCCCAAACAATCATGTAAGATGCGTGCTGCTCCAGCTTCCTCATGCCAATGACCTCCAGTCAGAGCATGCCTGCAGCTTTGTTTCTCACTAGAAAGCTTTCCCATTACAAACTTCAGCCTGCGTCTCTGCAAAAGCCCAAGTAGTCGGTGGCTGCCTCCCTTGCTAGAGCAAGCTCTGAATAAACAGCCTGAATGGTTAAATTTTGAGTGGTGTTTATTTCCATAACTCAAATGTTTAACAACATAAATGTGATACAATCATATATTACTGTATACATGAACAAACTACAGCTACATCCACGAATTGAAAGAAAAAAGGCCAAAAAATTAGAGTTATTTCATTTAATTTCCTTAGATGTCTCAAGTCAAAAAGAAAAGATTATTTTCCTGGCCTTAACAGATTGGCTTAGTTGGGGCTCATTCAACGGGTAGCCGGATCACTTACAACTCTGCTTTATCCTTCACCTCCTGTACTTGTGAAGCTCAAAGATCAGAGGTGGAGGCCTAGGGTCCTCCCAAGTCTTTTCTGAGACTGTGCAGTCCTGGACATGCGGGCGGCCTTCCGGATTCCTACTCAAGTCCTTCAAAGCCTTTCTTAACCCCACACCACCGCCCCCTACCCCCTTGTATCTTCCTCCCCAGACTTCTGGTTTGTGGGGCATATGACACTAGACAGCTGTGGGTAATAGGTTTTTAAAGCCTGGAGACCTCAGAGGGGGACAAACAAAGGCAAATTTCTGAATTAAACCCTTAGGGAAATGCCAGATAGGTCAAGACACAACAATGTGAGAACAAAGTGTCCCCTTTGGCACCATCAAGCCACACCAAGAATTTCTCACAAAACTTAGTGCCTCTTTATTAAGCACTGTTCCAGTTGTTTTGATTATATCCCAGAGTTTCAAAAATTAGATTTTAACAGTTTCTGTCAGCTTAATAGCTGTCTCAGTAAAGGGAAAAGTCTTTGGAGCTCCCTACTCCACCATTTTTGGTGATGTCACTATGTCACATTTTAGAAAGATGACCTTTTAGGGCGCCTGGGTGGCTCAGTTGGTTAAGCGACTGCCTTCGGCTCAGGTCATGATCCCAGGGTCCTGGGATCGAGTCCCCCATCGGGCTCCCTGCTCAGAGGGGAGCCTGTTTCTCTCTCTCCCTCTGCCTGCCACTCCCCCTGCTTGTGCTCGCTCTCCCTCTCAAAGAAATAAAATCTTTAAAAAAAAAATAAGTAAAAATAAAAAGATGACATTTTAGAAACGGAGGACAGATGAGTGGCTGCCAGGGGTTGGAGGAATGATGCAGGTGGGAGAGGAGCAGCAACAGGAGGGATCCTTATGTGTTGGAGCTGTTCAGGATCTTGCCTATGGTGGTGAATACATGAACCTACTCAAGTGATAAATTATTTAGAACTAAATACACACATACCATACAAGTAAAACTGGGGAAATGTGCATAATGTTGGTGAATTGTATCAATATCCTGATGGCGATATGCTGTAGTTTTATGAATATTCAGGGGAAGAAAAATCGGAGGAACAAAAGTACAAGGAATCTCTCTATCATTTCTTAGCAACTGCATATGAATCTACAATTATCTCAAAAATTTTAATTAAAAAAATTCAGATTTCAGATTTAAGATGAGGAAGTTTTAGAAACACATTATCCAACTTATTTTGCTTCCCTTTTTATATGCATCCAGAAGTTATATGATAGAAATTTATCTTTAAATAAATCTAAAATAGCTCTTTTAAGAAGTAAAATACAATTCTCAAGAAAGCACCATACTATAGTATAATTACACTGATCTTTTTTAGTGGCACATAAAATAATTGAGCATCTCCCAGTTAGTGGAAACAGGATTTGATGATTTATGGTATGTTTGGAATGAGGTTTACTTACAGGTCCATTTTGGTTCATGTCGCTAGCTTTGGCACTAACCATCAACATGTCTGTAATAAACAGTGACAGTGACTAGTGGTGTAATAGGATAGATGGAGTCAAGAAGCATACAGTAATTATCCACATTTCTGTTTACTATATGTATAAAGACATAACTTCAGGAACAATGGGAAAGTAATGTATGTGACTTTAATACAAAATGAAATATAAATTATTAAATACTACCATTTAACTCTGTACACCAATACTTCAGTATTTCCACTCATTGAATAAAGCACATATAACTCAAAAGGCTAAGTAATTCTTAGTTTATGACTAAATTCTCTAAAGAATAAAATGCTGGTGAAAAGTCAAAATTGTTCAGTAAGATATGGATGACCTTATTTATTTAGCAATTATCACAGACATCAAAATGATCATGGGTAACACTAATTTAAGCACTTACAGAATACCACTTAGGCCCAATACTGATTTATTAAATGAAAATATAGAGGGGACAAAAAAATCAAAGAAACTGGTATTTATGGCACCAGGTTAAAGGCAGATTTAAAACCACCTTTGTCAAGGTTTTAACACTGGAACAAAGTTAAATGTACCTAAATGGGACATGAAGCTGTTCTTGGTAATAGTACAAACTTTGTCCTCCTATGGGTATTACTATTTTTAAGTTTTCTCCTCTATATGAAACAACTGAAAAGAAAATTTAAGAATGTTACAACTCATGAATTACTTTGTACATGCATCATTCTATATACAAATGTATTAGTAACTAATATATTAAGGCCATAAATCAAGTCTTAAAAAAACTTCACTTTTATGTGTGTTACAAAGGTCAAGTCAGCTTACAGACACAGAATAGGTTAATAGGAATAAATATTTTTTCCCTTACCAGATTTTCAATTTTTTTTTTTAATTGGAATAGGATTTGGGGATAGGGTTATTGAAAGCACCAGGGTTCAACAAATTTACATTTTATCAGAGGAAAAAGATCCTTAAAGAATGCAATGATGGCATATAATCTTACTCTTATAGCATAAATCTTCATATTAGTTGAAGTGATACTATAGATACTGTAATGCTTTAGACAAAAATTTTAAGATACATCAATGACCACCAAGTTTCAAACAAAATGCAGTGATCAAAATATTTAACTGTCCTTCTATCAAGCTTTTACAAACACATTCAGTCTTCACTGTCTGAGCAAATCAGTTTTAGCTTCTTCATAGTCCTCCATCTGTCTTTCAACATGACGCCTGTTCGGTTGTTGAATTTATAATTTAACAGTATTTTAGACCAGTTTCCCTCTCCGTATTTCCTCACACCGGATCTCAGATTCTTGTCTTCTTCCCAAAGCCATGCCTTTTGATAAAACGCGAACAGTTATTCACAGAAACAATTCTTTAAAGAACATACTATAAATCCAACTGTTTTTAATCAAAATAGTATTAGTTTCTTAAGGATGGAAGAATTTGCATATACATTTCTTAGATTTCTGTAAGAGCTTATGTTTATAAGATTTCTCAGGGTCCTTACTATTATTGTTCATTTTACATAAGCACAGTATGGCTCAGCTGCCCAAGATCAGATGGCTACAAAGTGACAGAGCTAACCCAATCCAATTTATCAGACTTTAAGCCTACATTGTCTCTTACAATGCTTTTCTACAATTGTTATCAAATTGGTACTCCCCCCCACCTTTAAAAAAAGATTTATTTATTTTGAAGAGAGAGAGAGCAAGTGCATCATTCGGAGGAGGGGGCAGAGGGACAGAAGCAGACTCCCTGCTGAGCAGGGAGCCCAACCCGGGGCTCAATCCCACAACTCTGAGGTCGTGATCTGAGCCAAAACCAAGAGTCAGACACTCAACCAACTGAGCCACCCAGGCACCCCCAGATTGGTACTTCTTAATCCCACTAAATAGAACTTATGAATATTTAATACTTCAATAATGAACTCAGTGAAAACCCAGTTCTATGTTAGGCAAAGTATACACAGCCATAAACCTCAAATCTTCCTTAAAAACAAATTCTTAAAAACACAACTAAAAAAGACTTATTCAAAACATATTATTTTATTTTGGAGAAAATGGCTGAAAATTTTTAAAAATCAAGTTAGCACCATACACAGAAAAAAACTGATAGTTGGCATTTGCTATAGTGACCAACTAACCTATCCCTTTTGCTGACATGCTGAAGGAGCAAATGACTGAGTGATTATTTACTGTGTCTAGACTATGATTACTTTCCCCAGCTGAATTTCCTATTTTCTTTAAAAATCCATTCATCATCAAGTCATGAAAAGATAAATAGTGTATGATTTCGCTTACATGAGGTATCTAGAATAGTCAAACTCACAGAAACAAAGTAAAATAGTGGCTGCCAGGGGATGGGAAGAAGGGAGAATGGGAAATTGTTTAATGGGTACAGAGTTTTAGTTTTGCAATATGAAAAAGTTGTAGAGATTGGTTGCCTAAACAATGCGAATGCACTTAATGCCACTAAACCATACACTTAAAAATGATTAAGATGATAAATTTTGTTATGTATGTTTTACTACAAAGATATAAAAAAGTTAAAAAATGAGCAAGGACTTGATAGACATTTGTTCAAAGATACACAAATGGCCAATAAGTACATGAAAAGATGCTCAACATCACTAATCATTAGGGAAATGCAAATCAAAACCACAAAATATCACCTCACACCCATTAGCACATCTATCATCAAACAAAACAAAACAAAACAAAAAACAAAAACAAAATACCACAGAAAATACTAAGTGTGGGTGAGGATGTGGGGAAATTGGAATTCTTATGCACTGTGGGAAGGAATGAAAAACTGACCGCTGTGGAAAACAGAATGGTGGTTCCTCAAAAAAATTAAAATTACCATGTGATCTGGTAATTCTACTTGTGGTATATATCCAAAAGAACTGAAAGCGGGGACTTGAAGAGAAATCTGAACACCGATGTTGGTAACAGTGTTAGTAGGCAAAAGTTGGAAGCAACCCAAGATATCCACTGATGGATGGATGAACAAAATGTGGTATATAAATACAGTGAGATTTTATTTAGCCTTAAAAAGTAAGGAAATTCTGACACATACTATAACATGGATGAAACTTGAGGACATTATGCTAAGTGAAGTAAGTCAAACACAAAAGGACATATATTGTAGGATTCCACTTGTATGAGAGGTACCTAAAACAGTCAAACTCAGAGATAGAAAGTAGAATGGTAGTTCTACTTTCCACTTTACAGAGGCATGGGAGAGGGGCAAATGGGGAGTCCGTGTTTAACGGATAAATAGTTTTTGTTTTGCAAGTTGAAAAGAGTTCTGTGGATGGACAGTGGTAATGGTAGCACAACAATATGAATGTGTTTAATGCCACTGAACTATATACACTTTAATACAGTTAAGATGGTAAATTTAATTATGTGTATTTCACTACAATTCAAAAATTCCAACTCAGCTGTCTGATGCACTATTAAAAAGAACTCAAGGTGCCTTCAAGAAGACAAACCTGAGACGAAAACTCTTGTGTATGGCTCAGTGCCATAAAACTGGCAGTGACCATAATTAAACCCTTGTGTAAGTTTGTCTGAGGTGCCTCGTCTTGGCAACCGTGCTGTCTTCGAGTGCGTGGTATGCATGGCTAATTGATCTCTAGACGAAGACAAAGAGGACATCCTCCTGTGGCGGTCTACCATGACCAACCCAGCCCACTTCTCTTATCAGTCATCACTCCTACAAGCTTCAAGTCACTGCTTGTCATTGATGCAAAACCAAAAGAGATGTAAATTTTCCGTGTGTGGGTGAGGAGTTTAAAAAAGAGAGAGATGGACTTACCAGTTAAAAGTACTTCAGCAGTGGGTTATTAATCTTTGGGGTCATATAGATCTTTGAGAATGTGATAAAAGCTATGGATCCATCTCACAGACAAGTGAAGATATACAAAATTTTACATAACATTTCAGGGGCCACTTAGACTAAACCTAAAATATCGTTTTTACAGTCCCCAAGTTCAGAATTTCTGTTGTGTAAGAAGTTGCTATAGTTTTGTTCAATTTTAAAAAGTAGTCCTTGGTTTATGTAAATTTCATATATACAACACAGTTTTCTTGTTCAAATATGAACTAATTACTTTTAATAGAGTGCACAGATGATATCTGATACAATACAAAAGCTCATTTATCTCAAGAAATAAGTAATATTCTCTGCCTGAATCCTATTTAGGTTCCTGGGTACAAGTTTAAGCAGTGTTTTCCAGTGGATCCCATACAGCAGAGGTAGCAAGCTACTGCCAAAATCCACCCTCAGCCTGTTTGCACTGCCCAGAAGCTAACAACAACAAGCTAACAATATTCAGTGTTAGAACAGAAAGAAAATATAAGGGTAGTACAATTTCATGAGTGTACTCTTTTGCTTACTCTTTTTCATTTCTTCGATTTTATATCCTTGACTTATTGTTCTAGATACCATTCATAATGTCACAGAGTTAACAAAGAGTTTAAGATGATCTATTTTAGGACATAAAAAATCTGTGTTCTTTGTGCTATTCTGTCTTTTCCTTTCCATGAAAAATTAAAAATAGAATCAATAAAAAAATCATAACAATCCTGGTCAAACCCAAAACCCAAAAAGATACAAAGAGCACATAAATTCAAACACACCAATCCTTTTCTTTCCTAAGGCTAAAAAGTTTTTATATAACTTATATTTGAAAATTGTCTATCATTTTTAATGCCTTTCAGAGGAAAAAACAATGGTCTATAATGTCTTAAAATGATACTATTTATAGTAAAAAAAAGTTATAGTAATTCCATTATATACCATCTCTGGGGAAAAAAGTCTTCGTTGTTGAAAGACATTTACTTTCCTTGTTTAATAGAATAAATTTACAAAAGGAAGTCTCTTTGTAAACTGGGATGAGGCTGGCAGAAATACCTTTGTCTGTTTAACAGACAAATACAACAAGGAGAAATTGTCCAATCTGGTACAGACTACTGCAATAAAAATTTTTTTAAGAACCAAAATGTTAACACAAAATAAGATAAGATCTGTCACTCATCTGAAAAAAGTCCCACTCAAAAAGCCAACAGGGGAAAGTGAAAAATAAAATGAGACACTTGTGATAGCCACAGAATTCTTTTTTGGCATAGTAAACAGTGATAGACAATATCATCTATATTCTGTTCTTTAAATTACATAGTTGATTACCCACATTTTGTTTTGAATACAAAAAAACAAAAAACCAAAAACCAGAGTAATTTTTTTTTTTTTTGATATACGTCTATAAATAACACCTACAATCCCATTCAGAATTGTTGCCAGAAGAACTACAGGGAAAGATCACTTAAAATATGAGGCAGAGACTTCTAGTTTTGGGACCGACATATAAAAACCTTGGAAATATCACTCCAGTCCTCACAACAAGAAAAAAACTAAACCAACTCAAAGTCAACAACTCTTTGTAGATCCATCAGAGAACTAACGTCAACAGGCAAACTGCTGCCATAAAAACTAGAAAAACAGAAAGGTAGATACAGAGAATCACAGCTTACCAGGAACAGAAGCTCATACCTGGAGCCAGTACTGATAGAAACACTTAACTATCTTGGATGAACTGATGGGGGCTTACTATGGGCAAGCCTGAGTTAAGAAACTCCAGGTGCCCAATCTTAGTGGGGCCCACAACTCCAACTCATTTCCACCTAACTCCAGCCCCCTCTAGCCTTCCATGTCAGGGAGGCTAGAGTATTTCCGGAGGGTATTTCCGGAGGGAAATACCCAGCTTCAGCCCCTTCTAGGCTTCCTTTCTCACTGAAGAGGGGGAAATAAAAGCTGAGAAGCACATATGAAGGTCTTAGTCCAGGACACAAACTCACTGAAAATCACACAAAACTAGAGAATACTTCTCTCCTTCATCTTACCATATTATTTGGGCTCCTGTAAATCAATTGCCTTAGTTGAGAGAGCTGCCTCAGACCCTTACTAAGGAGTCTAGGGAAAACCAAAGACAGCAAGAGAGACAAAAATAAGGAAATTTTAGCCTCTGACATCTATGGCTGCAGCGAATAGGAAATAAAGCCTAACTCCTGGCTAGACAAACATAAAATCTCACACCAAAGGTCAGTTTACCTCTGCTCTTTTACCTGATACATCATGTTCAGCTACCAGCAAAAAATGGGTAAGGTACACTAAAAGGCAAAAAACCACAATCTGAAGGGACAAAGCAGCATCAGCCTTGGCTATGACAGAGATTTTGGAATTATCAAAGTGGTAATTTAAATAACTATGATTAATGTCAAGCGCTCTAATGGAAGAAGTGGACAACATGTAAAAACAGATAGGTAAATGTAAGCAGAGAAATGTAAACCTTAAGAATCAAAAGGAAATGCTAGAAATCAACACATAGTAATAGAAATGTAGAATACCTTTGATGGGCACATTAGCAGACTAAACATGGATGAAGAATCAGTGAGCTTGAAACTAAAAAGAGAAACTTCCCAAACTGAAAAGCAATGAGATAAAAAGAATGAAAACAAAAAAAAGAGAGAGAGAGAAACAGCTAAGTACTGTGGGAAAATTACGAAAGAGGTGACCTATAGATAATGGGACATCAGAAGGAGAAGGAATAGAAGAAAGAATTGAAGTAATAATGGCTGAGAATTTTCCAAAATTAATGACAGACACCAAAACAGACGCAAGAGACTTCAGGAACACAAAGTAGGACAAATTCCAAAATATCTACACCTTCGTACATCATACTCAAAGTGCAAAAATTCAAAGACAAAAAGTATGTATGACTTTTGGCTGCATATAGTGTCATATGGTTGGCATTTCCCCATTCTCCTTTGGGAATTCATCCAACAGCATCAAGGAAAGAAATAAAATCTTAAACTCTTAAAAAAATTCAAAGAACCCTATGACCTGGAAGGGGTACACTATTGGTGGAAATTGACAAAAGATATGCAAAGAAGCAGGGCAGAGCCACTCTGCCTATAGATCTCAGAAAGCCTGTGATGTGCAATTTTCCAGAGTAAAGAAAACATAGCCTGAGGTGCACACCTTGAATCCCCGGTCTGCCAACAGCAGGAGCCTCCCTCAACCTGCAGTTGCTCTAAATAATAAAGGTGGTGGTACTAAATAAGGAATCACATGGATAAGCAATATTTACAGGAAGCAAATCAGAAGTAGGAATTGCTTGCTATGTTCACTTGAGACACAAGAGATATTCCTAGTAGCCTGGAATTTGACCCTAGCCCCAGTGTCTCAACATGGACCATTTACAAGTAGCTTTTTGAGAAAACAAAACAAAACAAATCACATCTTAAATAAAGGAGAATAAGAAAAGAGCACACGGCCACCTTCAACTTCTAGCTAGATTTATTTACTTGCTATAAACAACTAGAAAACCAAATAAAATACAGGAAACAATGGTTTGAGACACTGGACAGATGCCACAAGACTATAATCACTGAGTGCAGAAATGAAGTGAGTCGTAAAACTGACCCATCTTAACTTTCTGTATAGAAAAATTCCCTATCAAATGGTTTCTTCTTTTTTTAAGGCACAGAAGGACCTTATTTAAATTGGATCCCTATTAGGAAAATATGAATATAAAAGCTTATAATGTGGATTTAAGTACCACTTTACATTGATATATAGACCTTATGATAGTATCACAATAATTCTAAATAAATATCATTATCAGTACCCAACTTAAGGCTATTTTAAAAATACAGGTGAAATATTTTTTTTGGAACTTAGAACAGGTGGATTGGCCTGTTGGCAAAATCAAAGATAGTTAAGTGGAAACATTTTACATTCAAGATCTTTTAGGTTTGAGCAGAAATAATGTGAAATAATCACAATTAATGTCCATTAATTCTTATTTAAATATAATAAATACCTGTTTTTTCCTAGATCGATGTTTTTTAGAAGTTACTGGCTGACTGTTCAAAACATGTCTTCTCTCTTTTTCAGCAGCTTGTCTCCTGAGTCTTTTCATTCTTTCACCTAAAAGTAGAAATAATCATCAAAAATTGCTTCACATTAAAATAAAAAGGGGGCTATTTTTAAAGGTTACCATTAAATTCCTATCTATTATTTAGCTATTTTAAATAAAAAGAACTAATTTTTTCCCCTTTGAATCTGGAAGCAGCACAGTACAATGCAAAGATCAGTTTCTGAAAATCATAGGGGGTTACTGAATGCTGATTCTTTTACGTCTTTAAATAAGTTATCTCACCTCCCAGAACGTGTCCTTTTTCATTACCTGTTAAAAAAAGGAAAAACATTTATCTTACAGGATTGCTAAAATTTTCTTAAGATAATGTTTAAGGAATATTTTACCTAGTGTAAGAACTATAGCCCTTCCCTCATTCCTTCTTTCTTATTCATAGTCAGTTTAGTAAGAATGTATATGTAACTGAAAAGAGAACTGTTAACTACTGAAAAAAAATTGTTTATATAAAAAACCTTAAAGAATCTACAAATAGAATTAAAAAGAGTTTAGATGGTTGGATAGAAGATCAATAAACAAAGCTCAATAGTATTTGTTCATTAGCAATAGTTAAAATATTTAAAACAATCAAAAGATAATGTTTACAATACTAACAAAAAATAGAATATTCTTAGGAATAAATCTAGCAGTGGTCGGGCGCCTGGGTGGCTCAGTTGGTTGGGCGTCTGCCTTCGGCTCAGGTCATGGTCCCGGGGTCCTGGGATCGAGTCCTGCATCGGGCTCCCTGCTCTGTGGGGAGCAGGCTTCTCCCTCTCCTCCCCACTTGTGCTGTCTCTCTCACTATCTCTGTCTCTCTCTCTCAAATAAATAAAATCTAAAAAAAAAAAAAAAATTAAATCTAGCAGCGGTCAAGATCTATATGTAGTAAATTATAAAGTTTTACTATATATGTGTATATATACACTATACATTATAAGAAAATATATATGACAATCTAAATAGAGTAATATAGGGGCACCTGGGTGGCTGAGTCGTTAAGCGTCTGCCTTCGGCTCAGGTCATGATCCCGGGGTCCTGGGATCGAGTCCTGCATCGGACTCCCTGCTCAGTGGGAAGCCTGCTTCTCCCTCTCCCACTCCCCCTGCTTGTGTTCCCTCTCTCACTGTGTCTCTCTCTTTCAAATAAATAAATAAAATCTTTAAAAATAAATAAATAGAGTAATATACTTCTGTTCATGCATAGGAAGACTTAACATAATTAATATAAAGTCTATAATTAATACTAATATATAATAACTGTGTCTGTTCTTTCCAAAAGTATCTATTGTTACAATGCAATTTCAAATGAAAATTTCAACAGGGCTTTTTGCAGGACTTAACATTATTCTAAAATTATGTGTTATGAGAAGTAGTCCACCACTGGCCCCGAGCATCCCTGCAGATTTTGCTGAATGTACAAGGCTTATTTGTTTCCTGATACTAAACAGTTTTGTAGTCATATAGGCACCTAAGTAGATCAAAGGAACCATAGCCTAACCACCATGTAACTACCTCTCCTGGGAGGGGACTGGCTGGTTTGCTATCCTGTTTTGCTGCTTACTCAAAAAGAGGTAGGCCCTTGGCACTAAGTTTCTCAGTTACAATACAACCTATCTGCCTGCACAGCATCTACCTGGGGCCATTGCACTGCCTATGGGACTTGGAATAAAGAAACCAGCACAATTATGCTGATGCCATGCTATTTGTTGTGCTGTAACTGTTTTGCTCTGACTCATTAAGTCATATTGCCTACTTTGGGCACCTATGGAGAGGTAGCAGGTTTATTGCTTGCAATCCTCTATGAAGTTGGGTTTTTTCCCTGACAACATGGAAGACCAAAACAGTCAAGAATAGTCAAGATATTCCTAAAGAGTAAGATGAAGGGAATGTCCCTGTCACATACTGAGTTATTATGAAACTACAGTAATTGAGATAATATGGCATTGTTGCAGGAACAGACCATTATGTGCTGGTCAGGCTCCAGTCAGGAAAATGGAAACCACACTAGTTATGAACAGAGATTTTCATATTGCAAATTGTTTAAACAGGTGCTAGAGGACTAAAAAAGCAAAAAAGGAAATTAACAAATTAGCAGAGATTAATAATTAACACAGAAATTTATAATTACAGTTGGAGGTTTCAATACTGTCTCAGTAATTGTTGGAACGAACAGGCAAAAATAAGCAAGCATACACAAAATCTGAATAGCACTATGAATCAATTTGACCTGATATTTTACAACAGAATTCACATTCTTCTCAAGTATATATCAACACTCACCAAGATAGACCATATCATGTACTATAAAGCAAATCTTAAGGTAAAAAAAGAATCTTAAAAAAAGAAATCCTACAAAGTATATTCTCAGTCCCAAACAGAATTAAATTGGAAAGCAATAATAGAAAGATACCTGGAATATCCTTAAATATTTGGAAATTAAGCAAACAGCTTCTAAATAGCCCAGAAGTCAAAGAAAAAGTCTTAAAGGAAATGAAAAAATATTTTGAACTAAATGAAAAAACATCTCAAAATCTGTGGGATGAAACTAAAGCAGTAATTAAAGGGAGTTTATAGCATTAAATGCGCATATTAAAAAAGATCTGGGAATCTATGAGTAAAACGTAACTCATATACAAAGGGAGGAGAAAGGCTGACATCAGACTTGTCCACAGCAGCACACATTAAGTCAAAAAATGCATCAATATCTGCAAAGTTGTAAGAAAAGTATCTCCCATGGGGCGCCTGGGTGGCTCGATTGGTTGAGCGTCTGCCTTCGGCTCAGGTCATGATCCCGGGGTCCTGGGATCGAGCCCCGCATCAGGCTCCTGGCTCAGCGGGGAGCCTGCTTCTCCCTCTCCCTCTGCCTCTCCCCCTGCTCATGCTCTCTCTATCTCTGTCTCGAATAAATAAATAAAAAAATCTTAAAAAAAAAATATCTCTGAAGAATATTATATTTAGCCAAATTTCCCTTTAAGCAAAAAACAGTACACACTCAAGGTACAGCATAGTTCCCTATGTCAATGGTATTGTAATAATGTTGTATGGGGACAGATGGTAGCTACCCTTGGGTAAGCATAGCATAATATATAGAGTTGTCCAATTACTATTCTGTACACATGAAACTAATGCAACATTGTGTGTCAACTATACTTCAATTAAAGAAAAAAGAAAAGAACATCTTCCACTTCAGTGATGATAGGAACATCTATCTGTCAGAGGTTGCCACTTGAAGAGAGTCTGCGTGGAAGGGAAGCCATCACAGAGGAAAGTAGAGCTGAGAGACATAGAGGAAGCAGGTCTGATGAAAACGCTTGAGTAGCTGGATCCAGCCACACTTGTAGCTAATGTACCTCTGAACTTATGAGCATGAGGCAGTAAATTCCCTTTCTCACCCCAAAAAGAAAAAAGAGCAGACCTAAATTTAGAAATTATAGTACCTATAATCCCATCTTTTAAAAAAACCTAGCAAACAAGAAGTAAGGAATGGGGACATAATGGTCAAAGGGTTGGTAACCAGCAATAAATCAGTTTAAACAGATTAAACTACTTTGGGATTTACGGCTAGAAAAGAGAATTCTACAAACCTTTATCATATAAAATAAAACTAAGAAAAACTGGAAACTGGTGGGAGAGGTTGGTTTTGGTTTTTTTTGCTAATATCACTTTAGATAAAAAGTCAGTCAACAGTCTAAAATTTAAATTTACGACTACAGAGGCAACCTGATCCAACCTCTTGAGGTATTTCATATTCTATATCCTTCATTTTGGAGGAATCATATAGGTTACTGATATACTTCTTATGAAACAGCATTTACATGAAGTTCAAAATGGAAATGTGTTTTAAAGTAACATGTAATCTAATCACATTTTCCTAAATTTTTATTTGACTATCTTTCCACTGACATAGTCTAGCCCAGCAATTAGAAGCATAGGCTCTGGAGTCAGAATGTCTAATTTTGCCTGGCTGGCTCATTTGGCAGAGCATGAACCTCTTGATCTCGGGGTTGTGAGTTCAAGCCCCAAGTTGGGCATACAGTTTACTTAAAAAAGAAGGTCTAATTTTTTTTTCTTTTTTTAGATTTTATTTATTTATTTGAGAGTGAGAGAGAGAGTGCACAAGCAGGGGCAGCAGCAGACAGGGAGAAGCAGGTTCCCCACTAAGCAGGGAGCCAGACTCAGGGCTCGATCCCAGGATCCTGGGATCATGACCTGAGCCGAAGGCAGACACTTAACTGACTGAGCCACCCAAGTGCCCCAAGAAGGTTAATTTCAAATTCTAGTTCTGTTTACTATTTCTGTGACGAAGTATATTTTACTTAATCTCTTTTTGTGGTGGCTTCCCATGTATAAAATGGGGATGATTAAAAAAAAAGCACTTGTAAGATTGTTGAGGATTAAATGAGTTTACACATCATTTCACTGAATGGTGGTAAGTTTTTTTCTGCACAGAAAGAATTTAGGTGATTTTCTTTCTTTCAAGTTTTCTGAATCACTTGATTTTTTAAAAGTACATGGCAATTTTGCAAATCTGAAAAAAATTGTTTAGCATAAACAAAACTAATATTCTCTAACTATGAAGAGAGGATACTGCATGCCTTTTAAGCAAACTGGAAGTAAAAAAAAATATATGTATGTATATATTACTAACATGTAACAAAAAGTCAAAAAATGTACTAAAACTCACAAGATCTTCTAGGTTCAATATCCATAGTCACTGTCAAACCAGTCTGCAATGAGGTTATAGTTCTCAGAGTTTAACCACTAATCAACTATTTAGAATCTAAAAAAATATATGCTTCCACTTATTTGAATTTTGTATTATGAAATTAAAAGTCCAGAATCCCCAAATTATTTTATTTTAGAATTATGATTACTAGCCATTTTGCAGCAATAGACGCAGAACAATTTTGGAATAACAACATGAAGCAATTATTTCTTTGAGCTTAACTTTACCATCTTTAAAATGAGGATGATAATATCTATGGATGTAAATGTTTTAGAGCTATAATTTACAAATATTAGTTAATACTGGCCCTGTCATCAGCCATCAGTTATGAATAAATTTATTCAATTAATACTTATTGCAGCCTTACTATGTCCCTGGCATTAAGGTGGTACACCTATTATTTTTATATTGACCTCAGGCTGCTAGGTATGGATCAATTAAGTTTAAAAATCCTTGCTTTCATTCATTCATTCCATACAGTACCTAGAATGTAGTGTAGGTTCAATGAACATTTGCTGAATGAATACATACCAAGGAGAAACTTACAATCAAATTGTAATTTAAAACAATTATGGACTACTTTCTTTTTTTTTTTAAAGATTTTTTATCTATTCATTTGAGAGAGAGACAGAGCACAAGCAGGAGAGAAAGTGGCAGAGGGAGAGAGAGAAACAAGCAAACTTCCCACTGAGCTCGCAGCCCAACTCGGGGCTCGATCCCAGGACCCTGGAATCATGACCTGAGCCGAAGGCAGATGCCCAACCACTGGAGCCACTCAGGCGCCCCTATGGACTACTTTTAAGATATATATATATTTTTTTGGTTATTGTTGCTTGTTTTTTTAAATCCAGTGATGCCTTTTATAAGAATAAATTCTAAATGTAATAAGGAAGGTAGCTAGATTCCACAGTCAATCCTCATTATTCATGGATTCTGTATTTGTGAATTTACTTCCCTGCTAATAATTTGTAACTCAAAAATCAATACAGAGTGCTTTTATGGTCACTGGTGGACACGCACAGAGCAAAAAAAATTCATCTCACCTGATGTGTGTGTTCACAGCTAAGGTTAAGCAAGGTGATGCTCTGCCTTTGTGTTTTAGCTCTGTCATAAATGTCTTTTTTAGAGTCTATTTAATGCAACATTTTGTATTTTGGGGTAATTTAGCTGTTTAAAATGGCCCCAGATGTATTGTGGAAGTGTTGTCTAGTGTTCCTAAGTGCAAGACTAGGATGTTCCCAACAGAAAAAATCTGTGTTAGAAAGCTTCATCCAGGGACGCCTGGGTGGCTCAGTCGGTTAAGCATCTGCCTTCGGCTCAGGTCATGATCCCAGGGTCCTGGGATCGAGTCCCGCATCGGGCTCCCTGCTCCGTGGGGAGCCTGCTTCTCCCTCTGCCTCCGTCTCTCTCTCTGTCTCTCATGAATAAATAAATAAAATCTTTAAAAAAAAAAAAAAAAAAGAAAGCTTCATCCAGGTATGACTTACAGTGCTACTTGGCCACAGGTCAAGGTTAATGAATCAACATTATATATTAGTATTTTTAAACAGAAACACATAAACACACTGAACAAGGTTATGTATTTATCAGTTGACAAAACTGTAGTGACAAGATTCTCAAAGGAATCTAACCCTGTAATTCCCCAGTAATGGTTTAGTAGTCACCAACCACAGCGACTTTATAGAACATAACTATCGTGATAACAACTGTATGTTTCAGATTAAGTAACTATTTCAAGTTGCTGAATAAAGTTAAGGTAGAAAATCAGTGTACCATCATAGCAAAAGTACTCTAAGCTAGGCAATCAGAATAGCTTTCTAAATTAAGCACTAACTTTCTAACTCTATGAAGGTACGGCATTTAATCCATTGTGCTTTAGTTTTCTGAAGTGTGTCTGGGTGTTGTAGTGGGGAGGTCAAGGGCTGGATCACTTTCAGGGACAAATCAATTCTCCACTTCTAAAATTGTAGTAAGAGTACTCACTTTGAAGAGTTTCCATTCTTTCTTCTTGCCTATTAAAATCCTGTTGTTGGCATCCGTGTTTTGACTTAGATACAAAGAGCTTCTTGTGAGACCTAAATTGAACATAAAAGCATGGGATTGGTTCCGCAAAGAGTAGAAAAGCTATGAAAGAAGGTAGATGATTTGTCTTAATCTCTATTTTAGGACCTTCTTCTACTTTGGCCTGTTTCCTTTGGTACTCTCCTTGCTGAGTGCCCCATCTTAACCTTTGGCCTCTTAAGATTTTTGTTGTCTGACTTCCCTCTTCTCCCATCACTTATTTCCTCCATCTCATCTACTAAGAAACCAAGATTCTTTTGGCCTTTTAATTAGATAGGTGAAGAAAAAAAAAATCCTCAGACGATCAACTATTGACTTTCATTCTCCCCTAGGGCTTTTAAGTTTATTTCCCAAAAGAGAAATTCCAAAATTCCTTTACACATAATGGTAGGTATCACTTATCTTTACAGCTTCCAAAGAGAGCATTTTTGAAATGAAGGCTGTTTGGAAACACAGAGTGTGGCAAAATTTTGACAACCCTGCAAAGTTGGTATTATTCCCACTTTATAAAGGAGCTAGTTTAGATGAAAAAATAGTTCACCTAAGCTTAGGAAATGATTTTATCACCACCTAAAATCTGTATTTTTACCTAAGTACACAAGAAACCTGCTAATCCGTTCCCTCCCTCCCTCCCTCCCAAAACCTATTGTGCTCTCTGGAATGCCATTCTCAACCCCTTCACCAGTTCCCCTACATCTTCGCTTTGTCTAAAATCTCCCTTAGGGAGAATATTTCTTTGTGGCCTGCTCAAGTAGACAGGCTTAATCTTCTACCTTCTACAAACCCAGGGTCCCAGAGGTGGGTCTCTATACTTTCCATTTCCTAACAAATGCCACTTTCAGGATACTGCTTCCATAAGAAGCATTAGCCCTTGAGGATTCATCCTACTGATGTATATCACCAACTACCATACTTTGCCTTGCAAGCACTTCCCATCATTCACAGATCTTTCTCTACCCCAAGTGATGATTTTATCATGTTATTTCTGTGTTCTCATGGATAACCCATATACAATCCTGACCTCTCAATTCCTCATTTCCAATGACCTCCTCCCCCACACTAAATCAAAACCTCCCATTATGGTCCCTATTCAGCATCCTAACTGCTCTAACTCTGAAATCATTCATGCAGACTTTCTGCTCTCTGAACATGTTATATTGTCTGTCACAAAATTTCCAGTAGATTAAACACAGTTTTTCAAGTAATTTCATAAAATTAGAATTTGGGATGTTCACCAGAACTATAACTGCCCCCCACCCCCCCGGCAACATATCCTTATTTCTAGGACAGAATAAGAGTTTATTAAACATCTGCTTTAAGTTCAAGCACTCCCTATACGAGTATGCCAATAATGGCCTTGTGGGAACAATGTGTAACAGCCCAGGATCCCAGAGGCAGGTCTCTATAGTTTGGAATTTCAAGACACGTCAAGGTCTTGAATACCTGTTGAGATAAGCAGGCACCTATGATATTCTCAAAAATCACACCATTTATATGACAGTTATAAAATATCTAGATCTGCATGAAGTGCTTCAATCAAAGATTTTAAAGATAGAGAAGAAAAATGTCCATTTACTTCACCTCGATAAGGATACTGTACCCCCTGAGAATTCAGTTGTAGACCGTTTGTCACTAATACTTTAAAAAAAGAAAAAATATGTTAAGAATGTAAACAAAAGAAACTTCACAAGGTTAGTACTTACTACATAATCAAGTCATATTGCAATTTATACAAAATATCTTTGGAAAGAAACTCTGTAACATTAGGACATACAGAGTCTCCATTACAACATAGATAATTTTTGCACAGATGTACCTACCAGATATTGAATCAAGCTTTCACAAACATAAGTTAAGCAGAGTTAATGTTGTAATCAAGTATTCACGTCACTCTTTCAAAAACTCTCCATGGATCTTTATTTCCATGGATTCAAGTTTAATTTCTTGCCCTCCCTACCAGTCTCCAACTGCACTTTTTAACAAATCCCCCCCAACTTTGCTGAAGTTAAACTTAGCTTCCAAAAACACAGTATAACCATTTACGCCTTTGTGCCTTCACTGGAACTATTCTTCTATCCTAAAATGACATTTCCTCTTCCATCCAACTGAAAAAATTGTAACTATCCTTCAAGGGCCTGCACAATGCCCATCCCTCCTTGAAGCTTCCATCTCAGCTTCTTCAGCATTTAAGTCTATACATTTTTAACAACAAATTATATAACGTTTGCTGCTGTACCTGTTTCCTGTCTATAATTATTGCCGCAAAATAGTTTATAAGCTCTAGCAGAGCAGTTTTTATTTCATCTACCACTGATAACATGAAGGTTTCATCTTTCCTATTATTTGTCTGATTTCACAATCACACTTCTATCCTTGTTCACTTGTGTCCTGCTGATTTTTGTCCTGAAACTGGTGAATCTGATGCTTTACTTGTCCTGATTCTATTTGCCTCCAGGATGGTCTTGATATTTGCTTAGTTCTTGATCTTCATTTTTTCTCTAGTTTTAGTTTTATTCCCTGTGTCTAGTGCATTGCAAATTCTAATGTATGCCTGGTAATGAACTAAGTACCAAGCACACAGCTAATTAAGAACCTTTAAAGGATTCTCAGTCTAGTGAGAAATACGAAAGGTAAACAGGTATGTTACCATCCAAGATAAGTCCTTTTAAGAGATGTGACTCAGTGCTGTGGGAGCACAGAAGTGACAACTGATCAGAGAGCTCAATAAAACATAGGAGATCTTTGAGCTAGACCCTGAATGGCTAGTAAGGGCCTGCCTTGGAGACAACAGAAAGAAGGGAATTCAAAATTGAAGCAAGAGACAGGCATGAAAGACCTCGTAATATTTGAGGATCAGGATGAAGTTCTGTGTTGCTAGAAAGTACCATTATGTGGGCAGGGAGAGGTTAATGCTTAGGGATAAGGTTGTATATGGAAAAAAAAAAAAAAAAAGAACAGAAAGGGGCTATGTACGGCTTTGTAAGCCAAGCCAATAAACTCTAACTCATCTAGTAGGAAGTAATTGTACAGTACTCCAAATATCCAAATGTTAATAATCAGTAAAACATACCCTCTATAATAATTTTGTTAAAAATGGTTCACTAGCAACACTTTCACATAAAGATGTATCCATGAGACAAAAAATATACTAATGAATTTACAAACCTTTTTCCTATATCCAAATTAGCTTCGGTTTCCATTTCAATAGGTTTATCTTGAGTTGTTCTTGCCCTTTTACTTTCCACTACTTTTGCTGCTGCCTTAAAACACAGGGTTGTAGAAGAGAAAGGAATCCATTAGGCCATTTTGAACACATAGCATTAAAATTAAGCCTTCTAATTCTTTGATAGTCGTAACCAATATATCTGTTCACAGGTCAATAAAGGGACTGTGCTGTGTTTTCTCCAGTAACTATGATATCAACAGCAGCTGCTTTAGTTACCTGCTTGGTTTATAAGCCTTATGGAGAAGATCTTTCCTTGTACATGTATTTGATACATACAGTGTTTACTAGGCAATTTTTAGATAAAAGGTTATTTAAAAAGAAAAATCAATAAAAATTCCAGATAGGGGCACCTGGGTGGCTCAGTCTGTTAAGCACCTGCCTCTTGATTTCAGCTCTGGTCATGATCTCAGGGTTGTGGGATCAAGCCCTGCATTAGGCTCCAAGGTCAGCACAGAGTCTGGGATTCTCGCTCTCCCCTGCCTCTCTAAACAAACAAACTCTTTAAAAAATTAAGTAAAAAAATTAAAAAAATAAAAATTCCAGGTATTTATACTCCCTTAAATTAATCAGTGCTCCACTATAAGTTAAAATTTTCTGAGGCCAAGACTGGGGCATAAAATGTTATTAAAAAAAAAAGAAATCTTTTTAAAGGCCCTTCTTTAGTCCAATTTTATTTTCCAAAAACATGCTAAAAATTTCTTTGATCTGTTCTCCCAACTTTTTATTTTGAAAAATTTCCCCAACTCTTATTTCAAAAAAGTTTAAAAATACTGCAAAAATCACCAATAAACCCTGTAGATTTACTAATTTTAACATTTTGCCCTTCTACAAAATCACTTTTTTAAGGATTTCTATTTCAAGTATTCTCCTCTATTATAACAATTTCTAATTACTCTATTGTTAGAGTCTCTCTGAAATATGCATACCTTCATAAGAAAGGCTGATGATTTTTCATTTATCACAAAATTCACATAACTCTTAATTTTCTCCATCATGTTGTTGTAGCTGAAGTGTTGAAAAATTGAGTGGAATGTATCTCTCTGAGAGATTACCATAAGCAATTTCCTTTTTAAAGGCTAAAGACAACAGGAAAAATGAATTAACACATAAATCACAAGTAAGATTGTAGAAATTTTGTCTTATTTAAAAAAAATCACATTATAAACTCAGAAACACGAGACTTTTAAAAATTCTCATTTTAAATGGCCCACGAATGTATTTTTTTCTTACTTAAACTACTTTGTATTTCACACACATACAAAAGGATAAAAAAATAAATTATGAACCTGAATGTCCATTGCCAAGAAATAAAACATCATCGATTACACCTCCAGCTTCTCCTCTCCTCAAGGTAGCCATTATCCTGAATTTAGAATTTACCATATCTACGCATTCCTTTACATACTTGCACTAAGTATGAATGTACCCATAAATATGCGGTACTATTTAGCATATGCGTATTTTTCTGAAACTTGTTATATTTGCTCAACTCTGTGACATTTATCCCTGTTGATCTGATTTTTTTTTTAAGATTTTATTTATTTATTTGTCAGAGAGAGAGCACAAGCAGGGGGAGAGGCAGGCAGAGGGAGAAGCAGTCTCCCCGCTGAGCAGGGAGCCCAATGCGGGGCTTGATCCCAGGACCCTGAGATCATGACCTGAACTGAAGGCAGATGCTTAAACAACTGAGCCACCCAGACGTCCCCATGATTTGATTTTTATAGAACTAGTTACTTTCACTATCATACAATATTCCACTGATCAAAAATACCATTTGTTCATCTATTCTTCCAGTCTTTTGAAAGCTTTTAGAGGCTATTTTCTATTACTGCAATACTGTTAAACGTTTTTCTACAGGTCTTCTTGTACACAGTACAAGCTTCTCGTGGACATTAGTTCTTTCAAGACTGGTTGCACAATAAAAGCTATAGAACCTTCAAAAAATTCTACTTCTCAGGCTGTATTCCAGACCAACTGTCTTAGTGGGGCCTGTTTGTTTTTTTTAAATAAAACTTCATGGCTTTTAGGGACCCCTGGGTGGCTCAGTCAGTTGAGTGGCCAACTCTTGATTTTGGCTCAGGTCATGATCTCAGGGTCCTGGGATTGAGCCCCAAGTTGGGCTCTGTGCTCAGTGGGGAGTCTGCTTGAGAGTGTCCCTCTCCCTTTGTCTCCCCACCCCACTTGGGCACGCTCTCTCTAAAAGAAATAAATAAATCTTAAAAAAAAAAAAAAAAAAAAAAAAAAGCCTTCATGGCTTTTAAAATGTGCAGTAGGGGCGCCTGGGTGGCTCAGATGGTTAAGCATCTGCCTTCGGCTCAGGTCATGATCCCAGGGTCCTGGGCTCAAGCCCCATGTCTGGCTCCTGGCTCAGTGGGGAGCCTGCTTCTCCCTCACCCTCTGCCTCTCCCCTGCTCATGCTCACTCTCTCTCTCTCTCTCTGTATCTCTCTGTCTCAAATGAATAAATAAAAAAAAATCAAAAAAAAAAAGTGCAGTAAAAATAAAAACAGTTACTCTAGGGTATTTATCTAGAAGTAGAATTGCTGGAATGCATACTTACAGATTTTGCTAAAATGCTCTCCAAAGTTTAAGCACTAATTTACAGCACTAAGAAGGTATGGCAGTCTTACCATTTCCCCACTCTTCAAGCGAACTGTTAGTATTCTAAGATATTTTAATCATTGCCAGTCTGAGGTACAGGAGATACTATTTCAATATATTACTTGGGATTGCCCTGATTACTCATGCTAGTGAGGTTAAGCATTTCCTCTTATGCTTACTGGCTGTAAGCTTTCTTCTGTGAAGTATAGAGTGGGCTTTTCCAATAACCTCACAGTGCTAAGGCAAAAAAGTAGGGGCAGGGAACCCAATAAACAGATCAGGCTTTCATCTGAAATCTCTGGAGGGTTATACCCTAGGAACAGCGGCAAATTAGAGATAGACTGAGCCTTAATAAAACTTCAACCTACTCTTGACTCAGCTCAGTTCCTCAAGAGATTAAGGTAATCACCCCCCAACTGTATTGAAGCATGCTCAAAGGTGCTCAACTTCACTAGTCAAAGAAAGAGAAACCAAAACCCAATGTGATACTCCTACCTATTTGCCAGAATGACTAAAAGGAAAACTACAGAGAAGGTCTGTGAAGCAAGCGGAACTCTTCCACACTGCTGAAGGAACGGATGTAACATAACCACTCTGGAAACCTGTTTGGCAGTATCTACTAAATCCGAGTATGTGCATATCCTACAACTCATTAATTCTATTCCTAAGTATATATCCAACAGAAACACATATATTTGTTCTACAAAAGATATGTAAAAGAATGTAACAGCCCAAAACTGGAAATAATCCAAATGTTTCTCAACAGCAGAATGGATAAGTTGCATATTCCAACAATGGAACAATGAGAATAAATGAACTATTGTTACAAGCAACACCATGGATCAATCTTACTTAAACTTGCTATGTGATTACATAAAGTTTGGAAACAAGTAAAACTAATCTTAGATGTTATAAGTCAGGACAGTGGTTATCCTTGAAAAGATGGGAAGGACAGTGACAGGAGGGTGCTGGCAATGTTCTCTTGATCTAGGGGGTCATCACAAAAGCGTGTTTCTTGTGAAAACGCATCTCTTTATACACTTATAGTACATGTATGCTATTAAAGGTATGCTACTGTTCAATAAAAAGTTCGCTAAAAATGTATAAAACTATTTTTTATTTCTTTAATAAGCTTAATTTATTCCAACACTTTTTTACTATTTAAAAACTAAGTTCAATTGACCTTAACATTACACATAAACACAAAAACTACTAATGATCATGTAAGAACCCTCAAGAAAAATAAGCTAATTATAATGCTTTTTTCTGGGGGTGCCTGGGTGGCTCAGTCAGTTAAGTGACTACCTTCAGCTCAGGTCATGATTCCAGGGTCCACTGGGCTCCCTGCTCAGAGGAGAGCCTGCTTCTCCCCCTCCCCCCACCCATGCACGTGCTCTCTTTCTCTGTCTCAAATAAATAGAGTGTAAAATATCCCATCAATACTTTTTTATGTTGATTAAATGTTAAAAATGATGTTTTTGGATATATTGGGCTAAATGAAATATTAAAATCCATTTCACTAGTTCCTTTTAACTTTTTTAATGTGGCTGCTAAAACACATGTGACTTGCAATTACATTTCTATTGGACAGCACTGTTCTATACTGTTTAAAAGATAAAGCATCCCTTTCTTCCTCCAGTGCTCTTTCATTTACCTCACTCCATATAAGCAGTTCTAAAATTCTGATTCTAATATAAACAACTACCTCATAAGAATTCGGGTCATCAAATATTCTTTCAAAGACTTCTTCCGCTTCTTTAAAATTGCCATTTTCCATACAAACAGCTATAGCCTAAAAGACAGGATGACAAATACAAACCTTAGATTGCTTTTTAAAAATGTATAATTGTTGTTTAATATTGAAATAAGTCCTGGTTAAGTCTCAACTACTTCACTTAAAAATTTTGATACATGACATAAAATATCTTTTCAAAGATGAAATAACTGTGGTTTGAAAAAGATGTAAAAATTTTTCATTGGCCCCTTTGCATATTTACTGATAAATGCCCAAGCATTCTAGCTCTTTCAAATTTAGGCCAATTAAAAGCAGACATTAATAAATAAATTAGGAGCTACATTATGTATATTTAGGACCCACCTAAATATTACTTTGAGCAAAAGGGAAATGAGAGAGGAGGTAGATGGCGTTCATGACAATTAGGATATATAAAATTAGCTAGCAGGATCCCTGGAAAATCTCTAATAGAAACCTAGGAAGCCAGATGCTTCTGAATGATCGATTGATAAACTGGTCTTTCTAATACAGTATGTAGTAAAATAGGGAACCATCGTTACCATCTGGGTAGCTTTGGCAAGCAATTTAACCTCATGTGCCTCTTGTTTCTTTGTATGGAAAATGGTGGAGATAATAGTACCTATTCGTAGGGCTGCCGTAAGGATTGGAGTTCTACATGAAAAGTGCTTAGAACAGTACCTGACAAAGAGTAAGCAATGTATTGCATATTTGCTATGTATTTATGGCAACCCACTCAACTTTATACTAGTATATTAATGATGGCCTCCTTCTCTAGAACCCCCCAAAACTGAGATAACATAACAAATCTCTTTGTCCCAGGCTGAAATTCTTAAAAGTAGCAGTCATATTTCTGCCATTCTCTTCTGGTCTTAATTCTACTTGGCAGTCATCATACTAACAATAATTAATTTTGGGGAAGGTGAGATATCATCTCGATTTTCTCTCCTACCCAACCATAAAATAATTTTCTAAAAATGAGGACAAATTTATTTAACTAGAACAATCCTTAGTATTTGCTTTGCTTGTTAGCAAAACATACTTTCCCTGCTACTGTATCTTTGAATAACTTTTTTAGCTTTTCACTCTTTAATAAGGTGACTCCTAAAATTCCCTCTACATAGTTAAAATTTTACATTCTCTTATTTACAAAAATCCATTGATTTCTTTTTAAATATTCTTATTTTTTTCATATTTATCATCTTGAATAGAAATTGGGAGAGCACAAATCACTGGTTTTTGAAAGCTGCTTTATGATCTTTAAATCAATGTTATGTATTTCCTCAAATGGGGGCAATATATACTTACGTAGCAAACAGTAAGTCCCCGTTCTCAGAGCTTGCGTGAAGACTATAAACCAAAGGTCAAATTTCTGAAGAGAATGATTATATTAAATTTTACTTTGGGTTTACTGCTCAACTTCTATTAAGTGGTTCTTAATTTCTTTAGATGTTATATGCAAAATAATAATAATGTAATACACATACCTGAATTTTAATTAAATTCTGTATCTCTTCATGAAGTTTGTCATGTTCTTTTTCAATGGAAGCCCAAATTGTCAGAGCTGATTCCAAGGGTGTAATTCGTTCATCAGTTTCAAACTGTGCATCTTTTAAAATCAGGACAAAAATAACTTAGGAAGTGAAGTAGAACCTTACACTTTGTCAATTTTTTATGATTTCATTTCTTTAAATATTTACTGAGTATGTACTATGTGCCAGGTACTATTCCAGTCCGTATACAAAAGTTTAGGCAAGTGATTTGATTTTTCAAGTTAATTTCCTTTTTTTTTCCTTTGAAAAACTAGAAGGAGCATGTAATTTAAATGTTAGCAGTTTCAACAATTTCTACTTTGTAGAAAAATTTCCTGTTTTCTCCTAATTGTTTCTCCAACATTTTAAACATAAAAATATCTTAATTCATATACAAAAAAAGTCTCTTTATATCCCAGGCCCTGTGCCAGATACTTAGGATCAGACCAGGAAGAAGAAACAGTTCCTGCCCTTATGAAATTTGCACGCTAGCTAAGAAGAAAGACAAACCAATGTGACTGGTACTTTACTAGAATTATGTATTATGCTGGTGATTGTCAACCGTACCTATATCTCAAAATCATCTGAGGAGCTTTTAAAAAAACTCAGATGCCTAGACCCATCCTCTAGAGACTGGTTTAGTTAGTACAGGGTACAGCCCATGCATCTGTATTTTCTAAGAAGATTAGTTCTATTAAAGGATACTAACAAAGAATCTTTTATGAAAGAGAAACCATCCAAATTAGGGCATTGAGGATAAACAGGAGATAACTAAGTGAAGAGGATAAGGATGGGAAGGAGAACATTTCCGGAAGGCAGCAGCAGAACAGAAGACAGAGGACAAAAGATATTCACACTCATAGTCAACACATATTAAGGTCCTACTATGTGTTAGGCACTATGCTAAGTGTTTAACATGCAGTAGCTCCTTTATCCAAACAGTTTCTTTAAAAGGGTATATAACATTATCAACCTTGTCTTATAAAGTAGGACCTGAGACTTAGAGAGGTCACACAGCTAGCAAGTAGAAGCAGCAGACACCAGAACCCTTAAAAACCACTTACTGTGTCTCAGAAAAAAGGTGTGTTTTCAGGAATAACAAGATGCCTGGTAAGGCTAGAGTATGTGCTGGAAAACATTAAATATGAAAATGCAAAGGCAGATTGCCTAATCCTTCTTCATTTCACATTTGTTTTTCTTTTAAAAAACTCACTTCAATATTTGTATTTCCTATTAAGTCTTTCTTGACTGATATTATCTAACCCATCTCATTAATCTGCTGCCTTCTTATAAATGTGAGATGTAGAAAAAAATGTACTTATAGAAAAAAGTGTTAGATCTTAACTTCAAAAATTTTAGAGTAGCCTTTTACTTTCAGGTAGAATGCAGGATATTGCAGTAGGCCAATGCTCCCATTACGACCAGAAAAAAGTGGAATAAGTTGCAAAATTATATTGCTAAAGACATGGGATAGTAGTGGAAGCAAAAAGAACTAGATGAACTACATTTCCAGGGGTTAGCGGATGATTTGCAGCTTTTCTTTCCTGGCCTCATTTGCTTATAAGGATGAGGATTCAGTGTATTCCAGGCAGGGAGATTTTACTGGGGTAAGAGAAATGAGGAAAAGCTCCTGGTGGTTTCCTTGGGACTAGTTGGTGGACTGGAAACTAGAGGAACTGAAACACATGGTTGGTTTTCCCCTCAGAACACTTGCTGAGTTCTGGGGCGCTGTAGAAAGCTGGAGTAGAAAGGAAGGGAAGTCTCCCAGAGTTGTACAGATCTTAAAAAATAAAATCCCATGAGATGAGGGTGGCTGCCATAAACAAACATTTCCCCTCCAAGACATTTACCGTATTTTAAAGCTATTTGCGGCAGGAAACTAAAGCTAATGTGGTAGCCACTGGCCATATATAATTAATGAGCCGTTAAAATATGGCTAGTTCCAAATTGAGATGTACTTTAAGTTTAAAATATACCCCAGATTTCAAAGACTTACTGCAAAAAAAGGGGTAAAATATCTCATTAACATGTTTTATATTGATTATATGTTGACATATATTTTAGAAATATTGGGATAAATAAGATACTGCTAAATTTAATTCCACCTATTTCTTTTCAATTACATATGTAGCTCATCTTATATTTCTAGTAGGCAGTGCTGCTGCTGAGCAACCACTTAAAAAAAAGGCAAAGAGTTATGTATAGCTAAAAAACCAACATATAAATTGAAATAAAATTTTGCTATTTTCACTTGAGTCCATAATGGTGAAATACATTGATTCTTGATAATTGACATGGGCCTATTCTAAGATACACCTATAAGGGGATCCTGGTGAATTTCAATATTAATGGGGTTACACACAAAATCTGCATTTCTTTTCAGAAAGAAAGGGTTGTCAGGGGAGAAAGTAAGATCCACTGAACAATTGCTAACATGTGAAACACAGTTGGGCATTTTATGTTGTCATATTTAATTTAGAAAACAAGTGTTAACAACCATGCTAACTTATTGTCTACATGGTCAGGAATTCTCCAATTACGTCCACATCAAGATGGTTTTCTTCTTTAGCTACAGGCCCAGACTACCTATAGTTCTGTCTCCCCTACATTTACTCTGCTTCTAGTCCTATTCACTTATGGTCATGGCACCAACTCCAGACCTGGCCTCACCCCCAACAAGAAGCATGCTATGTGAGCCAGAGCTAGGTAGGGAGGGCCATGAGAATGGTACAAACACACTGGGATTTTATGTAACACAATAGGATTGTAAGTAAGTGGTTTCATTTTAAGTACCGCCTACCACTTGGCACTGTTGGGAAAGCATTTTGTATACTGTAAAAACCAACATAAATATGTAATTATTCGGGCTCCCTGCTCGGCAAGGAGCCTGCTTCTCCCTCTAACCCTCCCCCCTCTCATGTACTCTCTCATTCTTGCTCTCTCAAATAAATAAAATAAATAAAAAAATCTAAAAAAAAAAAAATATGTAATTATTTGCATCAAAAGGTCCTTTAAATGACCATGTTGTAAATATCAGCCATTACTCATAAACTGAAGCAGGCTTACCCATTACAACCTAAAATAACCTGTGGCGATAAAAGAGAGAGCTATTATAGCAAAAATCATATTCGCCTATCTAAAGAAGTGCTGAAATCCAGTTCAAATAAGAGGTGTCAATTATCAGAGTTGCTACTAAAATCAGTGTGTATAATAGTAAGAGTCACCACAAAGTTACCGTACAGTCAAATCTGACGTAAACGCTCCAAAAGACAGTCCTTGAAGAGTGACTCCCCAAGAGCAGTGTCAGAATCACCTGGGAACTTATTAGGAATATAAACTTCAGGGCCCCTCTTATCCAACCTATTGCATCAGGAATTCATGGTGGAGAATTTTTTTTTTTTTTAAACAAGTTCTCTAATAATTCTGAAGCAAGCTAAGTTTGACAACCAGTGCTCTAAGATTGGAACTATATTTCTTTTAGTTGCTTTAGATATGCTTGTGTAGATGAACGTACCAAACACATAGTGCCAACTCTCAAAAATAACAGATCTCATCTGTTTCTTCTAATTGTTTTACCTTTAGACATAGATTAAAATATTCCCAACATAAGATAAAAACACATACTTACCGAGAGATTTTCCTGCTGCAATTCTTGTCAAAAACTGACATATGTATATAGTTCTCAATTGATAAGCTGTTAGACTGGACATTCCATGGATAATAGCTGAAAAAGAAAAACATTAAAACATTTTTTTTAAAAAAGCCAAACTTGACCCAGCAGTGCCTCTGTGTGGTTGGTTGAGTAATTAGGTTACAAACATGCAAAAATGATCACAAACTGAGAGCTGTATGCTTTTGTTTATAGGCATTTTTTTTTTTAAAGATTTTATTTATTTATTTGACAGAGAGACACAGCGAGAGAGAGAACACAGCAGGGGGAGTGGGAGAGGGAGAAGCAGGCTTCCCGCGGAGCAGGGAGCCCGATGCGGGGCTCGATCCCAGGACCCTGAGATCACGACCTGAGCCGAAGGCAGACACTTAACGACTGAGCCACCCAGGCGCCCCTGTAGCATTTTTTTAAATGAGAAAAAACAGCAAAGAACACTTTTCTTACAAAGTAAAACAGATTTCCACATGGAGAATAATAAATATTTAATAGTACTTCCACAGGTAGCACTCCATACTAACAAAAAGGGAGATTTAGATTCAAACTGTAAAATGTGTCAAATCATTAGCTCTAGGAAGCTTTATACCTTATACTCCTAATATTGTAGGAAATATTTTATATTATTTTGGTCAAGGTTTCAGTTAAGTGAGTCTGTTAAGTTCACAAAAACTTAAAAAAAATATATTTATTGGGGCAAGATGGCCGCAACAGGGATGGCCCAGGTGGTGACGGGGTGCTAGACCCTAGGCCCCGAGCCTTTCCCAAGGGCTGTGCGGGTCCAAAGAAGTGAGCTCACAGCCCAATCCAACAAACGTGTGTTGGCCTTTCTCGCCATGGCGATGTTGCAATAAAGCCTCTGCCCCAACAGGCAACTCCAGCATTCTGCAGCACTGACCTGGAAGCCCCGACCTGCAGTATAAGCGCCAGAGGGAGGCAGGAGGCCAGTCAAGCTGGTCCTGCTGTCCCGACAGATGCATGCGACACTGAGCACCCCAGGCCTATGGGCCCAGGGAGGCATGGCCTCCCTCAGGGCAGCCACCTCTGCTGGTTGCACTGAGCTTTCACCTTAACACTCTGCTATAATGCTCTGCTAAGCAGAGGCTCCTGGGAAAGCGGAGAAGTGAGCACGTCAGACCTTCCATGCTGGCTGGTGGAAGAGTCTGTGGTGGCAGAAGAAGGCACTCCATGTTCTAATTCCCAGGCTAAAACCACCTCGAGTGTGGTTTCTCAGGGCATGTGGAAAAAAATCATATTCAGTTCATCTAAGAGGAATGTTCAAAAGCTGCCACTCAGCTCTAATGTAAAAACACTTATTCTGGAAATTCAAAGGGGCTGTGGTGGGTGTGGCCTTGGTTTTCGCTTTGTTCATTGGTGACAGCTGGAAAGAAAAGCAAATCGAGTCCATCTAGCTACCTCTTACCCTTTGATAGAGGTCTTAAGGATTGTACCTGACACAGAGACAGTACAATGAATGGACTTATGCCCTTCATTCTTGGGAACTTGTGGTCACCCCCTTCTTGGTCTCCTGTCTAGATCATCAACCTAGCAAAATAAAGATAATAGTTCCCTTCCCTATTGTAATTTGGTTTGGGACAGGAAGTCATGGGGGCAGGCATGGAAAGGGGGTAGCAACTTTAGGCCCCAGTTTACCAACTACCTATCTTCCCCTTCTGCTATTGGTTTAAAACTTTCAGGATACAATTTCAGCAAAAAAAGTTTATTTCTCCATCAAAACCTCTGTTTCTCCACAACCCTAACTCCAAAGAAGAAAGAAAATTGCAGATGTATAAAAACAAACACATTTATTAATATTAATCTCCCAAATATTTGAGTGCCCACCCAGATGTTATGTTAGGCAGTGAGTATAATGGTGTGTAAACCATAATTCTGGACCTCAGTAAATTTATTACTATGTAAAAATGAAAGACAAATGATTAAGCAATTAAAGTAAAAACATGGAGAAAACTGAAAAAGACAAGTACGGAGTGCTGTGGGTGCAATATAACAAACCTTAGAGTGTGTTTTAGTATAGTTGGAGGGAGAAGATAGGAAAGCTTCTCTGAGGAAATAATGTTTAAAGTAAAACCTGAAGATGCCACTGTTATACTTCACCCAGGGCTTGGTTGGTGTATTTAAAGATTAAATCAACTAGCAAAACCAAAAAGCAGTCCTGCAGCTACTAAGGAGATAAAAGACAAATACATTTATTTGTATTTATTTCCTCAATTCAAAAATAGCATAATCTTATACTATACTAGAGATTATCTGGGCCAAATACAGCCACAATTTAATTAAACAGGATGCAGAGAGAGCACAAAATTTATATAAAATTTAAACAATTCATTCAATATTTATTAAACATCTACTGCTAGTCAATGTTAGGGGCTGATAAGACAGTCAGCCCCCTGGGGTGCCTGGGTGGCTCAGTCGTTAGGTGTCTGCCTTTGGCTCAGGTCACGATCCTAGGGTCCTGGGATCAAGCCCCGCATTGGGCTCCCTGCTCAGTGGGGAGCCTGTTTCTCCCTCTCCCACTCCCCCTGCTTGTGTTCCCTCTCTCGCTGTGTCTCTCTCTGTCAAATAAATAAATAAAATATTAAAAAAAAAAATAGGACAGTCAGCCCCTGCCCCTCAGGAAGGTTTTAGCTTGAGAAGACATAACCCAAAATTTATGCAAGTTATTAATTAAAATTTTAATGCCACAAAGGTTAAAAGTATGGTATAGAAGCAAAACAAAAGAATCTACTCTTTTCTAGAGAAGAAAGTCAGACCTCTATCTTCACTTCCCTCCGCCTTCAATTTAGTCCACTATGCAATAATGACGAATCTCTTATACACCCCTGCCCTTCGGTTCTTTGTACCTGCTAGACAAAAAACAAAACAAAAACAATGAAAACCTCGTTGAACCTTGCTATCTGCTTTTTCCTCACCTGTAACCAAACATTGCTGACAGAAAAACACATTAGGGAAATCTAATGACTAGCTACAATAGCAACAATATTTAAGCACTTGTAATACCAGGCACTAGTCTAAGCACTTTACACCAGTGATTTTCAACTAGAGGTCATTTTTGTCCCCTTGAGGACATCTGGCAGTGTCTGAAGACAATTCTGATTATGAGTGGAAGGGGGATGCTCCTAGCATCTAGTAGTTGAAGTCAGGGGGGCTGCTAAACATCCTACAATGTACAGAAGCCCCACCTTCGCCCTCCTCCACTCTCATGCATACACAGAACAAAGAATTATGTGGTGCAAAATGTCAACAGTGCTGAGGTTGAGAAACCTTGCTTTATACCTATCAACAGCTCTGTGAGGTAGATACTATTACCACGATTTTACAGATGAGGAAATTGAGGTACCAAAAGGTAAGTAACTTGCGTCAGGTCTTATAGCTAGGAAGTAGCAGAGCCAGGAATCAAATTCAGACAATTTATTCTGGAGCCCATGCTCTTAATCACTATCTTACACTGCTTCCCATGGAAAGAGACAGGTTAGGAATAACAGTCCGTAAAAGGCATTATCTGAGTTAAGTGAGGTGTGAGAACAATTCTGAGTCAGAATGAAAGAACTAAGAATTTTCTAGAAAGCATCAAGAGTTGTGTATTTTTACAACATTGAAAAGTGTAATAAATGAAATCCTATAAAAGATAAAAGGGAGTCCTTTCAGTCAAAAATGGAAATACAGAGACAACACCATGTTCACAATTTATGTTACTGATTAGCAGTGCAACTTTAAAAATAGTTTACTTTCTCTGGGTTTCTGTGCCCTTAACCTTAAAATAATAGAGGTGGCCTAGATTATTCCTTGGGTCTTGATCTAGAACCTCGAAAGGAGTCTTTATTTTTTAGAACGGTTTTTAATTTACACAATTATTGTGAAGATGTAAGTCCTATATACCCTCCACCCAGTTTCCCCTATTAGTAACATCTTATATTAGTGTGAAATATATACATTAACAAGCCAATGTTAATACATTAACTAACGTCCATTCTTTATTTGGATTTCCTTAGTTTTTACTTAATGTCCTTTTTCTGCTGCAGATCCCACCCAGGACACATTACATTCAGTTACCAAATGTCTCTTTAGGCATCTCTGGCTATGAAAGTTTCTCAGACTTTCCTTGGTTTTGATGACCTTGGCAGTTTTGAGGCATTTTGTACTGCGACTTGTCTGATATTTTTCTTACAATTTGACTGAGTTAAGGGGTTTTGGGAGAAAGATCAAAGAAGTTCCATATTTGACACATCATATAAAGTGTACATACTACCAACTGTCACTGTTCCTGCTGACCTTGATTACCTAGGTGTGAAGTAGTGTTTGTTAAGTTTCTCTACTACAAAATTATCCTCCCGCCAATTCCATACTGTAGTCTTCAGAATAAAGTCACTATGCACAGCACACACTTAAGGAGAGGGGTGTTATACTTCACCTCCTTGAGGACATAGTAGCTACATAAATTACTTGAATTCGGGCGCCTGGGTGGCTCAGTTGGTTAAGCGACTGCCTTCAGCTCAGGTCATGATCCCGGAGTCCCGGGATCGAGTCCCGCATGGGGCTCCCTGCTCTGCGGGGAGCGTACTTCTCCCTCTGACCCTATCCCCTCTCATGCTGTTTCTCTCTCTCTCAAATAAATAAATAAATAAATAAAATCTTAAAAAAAAAAAATTACTTGAATTCTTCTGCATGAGACTTGTTTCTTCTCCCATTTATTTTTTCCATCATTTATTTACATCATTATGGGCTCATAGATAATTATTTGACCTTTGGGTTCTAATCCAAACTATTTCCTTGCTTGAGTTGCTCTGCCCATTGGGAGCTTTTGCAATTGGTTCCTGTCCCTTTGTACTGCCACCACTATGGATTTACTTTCTGGCACAAGATGCTCCAGGTTCATCTTGCACATTTCCTGTCCCAGTCCCAGAACCAGGCCATTTCTCCAAAGAGCTCTAGTTGTCTTTTTCAAGGAATGGTATTAGAAACCAAGACTCGAGTGCTAGGTTGCTATTTAGGTTTACATTGCTTCTGTGCCCTTTCTTTTTTTTTTTTTTTTTAAAGATTTTATTTATTTATTTATTTGAGAGAGAGAGCGAGAGCACATGAAGGGGGGGAGGGTCAGAGGGAGAAGCAGACTCCCCGCTGAGCAGGGAGCCCGATGCGGGACTCGATCCCGGGACTCCAGAATCATGACCTCAGCCGAAGGCAGTCGCTTAACCAACTGAGCCACCCAGGCGCCCGCTTCTGTACCCTTTCATCTAACAGAACGAGGAAATATATGAGTATATACTAACCTGTGTCTACATATGTATAGAAATACCCATATATACTTGTATATGTAACCACCGTTAAAAGAAAACCACTGGCCCAAACTCGGGCTTAACACCAAATCTAATTGCACTTTCAACCTCCCCCAGAAATATAGTCTTAACCTGTTGGTAAGGAATTTTGTGACTGGAGCCAGAGAACCTGCCGAATGGGTCCTCTCCATCCCCCAAAGGAAGAGGAGGTAATTTGCCTAAGACCCCCTTCCTCCTAAGGGAAAGTACCTAGCCTGGAACAATCCTTTTCTTTTGCTAATAACTTTCTTGCCCCGCCTTCCTTCCTTTAAAAATCTTCCATTCTGTACAACTCCAAGCTCCCCCCGCCACTTGCTGGTGGGATGCTGTCTGCCCAATTCATGAAATTGCTTATTAGATCTGCAATTAGATCTGCAAATTTACTTGGTTGAATTTTGTTTCTGAACACCATCTATACCTGTATTAAGGCAAACAGGAGGTCATACTGATGTTTCCAACTCAAATTCATTTTGAGGTAATTCTACGTAGATAGATAATTCTACCCTCTTCCCCAAAGCGGACTTTTTAAATAAATCACTATAATAAACTAATTTAGGATTTAGCTTTCTCATTAATGTTAATTAACCATGGCTCCAGTGTTATCTGATAGAGTTGGAAGAAGGGTTCTTGAATTGGAAGATAAGGCACAAGTGTGGAACATTCCTTTTAACCTACCAGTGTTTGAGGTTGCTTAATCAGTCCATTCCTCTATAAACTAAAATTACTTGCCTAAGGAATGGGATGACCATGAAGATGAAATGTGTCAATATAGTTTTCTGAAGTATTTAATTTTATATTAAATAGCAGAGCATCTTTCTGTCATCACTGAAAAAGCCAGGCTAGTCTTCTCTGAGTCTGTGTCTCTGTCGATCAGATACAGTCTGTGTTGGCTAGAGAGTACATTTCATTGACAGTTATTTTTATTCTGCAGCCTATACTGTGCAAGCAGGCCAAATGGGGTTCTAAAAGCTCACAAAGGGGCGCCTGGGTGGCTCAGTCGTTAAGCGTCTGCCTTCGGCTCAGGTCATGATCCCGGGGTCCTGGGATCGAGCCCCGCGTCGGGCTCCCTGCTCCGCGGGAAGCCTGCTTCTCCCTCTCCCACTCCTCCCTCTGCTTGTGTTCTCTTTTTCACTGTGTCCCTCTCTGTCAAATAAATAAATAAAATCTTTAAAAAAAAATAAATAAAAGCTCACAAAATAACAGAAAACGCCGATGCTTGGGTCACTTGGAGGCCATTGTGACCGCTTCATAAATGCCATCACGGGAATGTTTCGAAAGAAACAATTACAAGCGCCAAAGAAGAAAAAGGACGTGGGACACTGGGCAATTTTATACGTTTTCACTCACTGAACCCTGTATCAATTCTAAAATGGGAGTCTTATTCTTTTTACCGAAGAGAAAAACAGAATCTGAGAAAAACTGAGAAGCTGGAAATAGGCGGATGCGGGATTCGAACCACCGTTCACCTCAGAGCCTCGGTCTCTCCGGTCGGCCGCCGCAGCAGCCCCGGTCCCTCGACCCCACTAGGCGCACCGTGCCGCAAACCGGGCCTCGACCGTCCGCCGCGGTTCTCGCCCCGCTGCGCGTCGTCGCCCCCGGCCCCAGCGCAGCCACCCGCCGGTCGCACCCGGCGCTCACCCTCGGCACTGTCGCGGGTCCGGTGGAAGTCCTCGGAGCGGCCGTCGCGGAAGGCCCGGCAAAGAGACAGGCAGAGGAAATCGAGCATCCAGCCGGCAGCTACCGCCTCGGCCTCGGCCACCGGGCCCGGGTCCTCTTCTTCCTCGGGGCCCCCCACCTGCACTTGCCACTCGAGCAGTTCCTGGCACTCAAATTGCTCCTGATCATCTCTCGGCATTTCTGCCATCCCCTCCTCTTCGGGCTCTGCGTCCTCCCCATCCGCACATCCCCGCGGGCTCGTAGCCTCTACGGCGGCAATTTCCGCCATGTTAAATTACTCGCGCGGGTCCGCCCCTCCAGGCGCCGAGCGACGATTGGCTTGCGCTGGAGGACCCTGGGCGGTGCCCCCAAGGGTCTCTTCCGCCGATGGGAAACCACCAATCACACTGCCAGGATGGGCGAGCGACTTGAGCCTTGCTTTTGATTGGCCGAGGCCTGCTCCCGCCTCTGAATAAATTCCCAGCCACGCTGGGGCCGGGCTTTGTAGGTAAACTGGACTACTGCTGGCTGAGCTACCAGAGAGGTTAGGAAGTAAGGGGCCTGCTTTATACTCCTGATAAAATGCAACATCGACGGGAATGGAAACACGGTTAGTTAAAATAGAAAAGCATTTTACCTGCAGTGTACTTCAAAGAGGTAGGTTATTAGAACTTGTCACGTTATTCAACGGTAACGCTATATACGCTAGTATTCACCTAAGACAGTACGCAATCACCAGCTAAAACCATTCCAGCGGACTTACATCCATGCCTCTCCAATCTGAGCGTGCATCACAATCAGCTCGGGGGCTTGTTTAAACATAATTGCCGGGCTCCACTCCCAGAGTTTCTGTTCTGTAGGTCTGGACTGAGATCCTTGAATTTGCAAGTCTAACAAGTTCCCAGATGATGCTAGGCTGCTTGTCTGGGGACCACATTTTGAGGATCACTGCTCTAGAAAGAGTATATTACTATGGAAATGAATTTAATTAGGGTTTTAAATAGATTATGGAGTTCAGCTTTTAAACAATAAGTGAATAGTTATTTTGAACTTTGAAACTTAGAGCATAAGAGGGAACAGGGGGCTCTGGTTATATTCTGTTTCTCTACGTGAGTGGTAGTTATTTTGAACATGATTTATGCACTTCTCAATATTCAATATGAATAAAAAGTCTACCTTAAAAGCCTTTTTCTTTATAACACATCCAACATTATCAAGGCTTTATGTGTTTTAATTTTACACATTTGTTATTGCCTTAAGGGCATAGTTTAAATGTTGAGTCATTTAAAGCACTATATTGTAGCCATTAAGGATGCCTAGGTTGGAATGTCCCCTGCCAGTTATCCACTAGCTGGGTGGTGATCTTGGATGAGTTGTATCTCAGTTTTCTCTTCTGTATATTGGGCATAATAATAATATCCCCATCATAGATTTTTTGGGAAGATTAAAGGACTTGACAAATGTAAAGAGTTTAAAAGGAAACCAAGTACATAATAAGTGCTTAATTAATATTAGCTGGAAAAGTGGGATATTTGGACTATCTGGAAGAGAGTGATGAGTCAGAAGGGATTGCACCTTAAGGCTTTAATGGTCCCATAGAAAGTGAGTCCTGTTTACAAACAGTACAGGGGAACAGGGTCTAAGGGAGTAAGGGTTAATGTACATTATGAGCATAGCAAACGAACCCCAGGTTTCCAAACTGAAACTTTTTTGTCATTCAAGGCTCTCACGTGGGGCCTGCTTTTTCCTCTTTCCTCCAAGGCTCCACTTCTTCCCATCCTGGAGTTAAGGGTTATTCTTAGGTATAGCACCAATTTATTCAAAGCCACAAAGTAAACATATTTTCCTAAGGCATCCATTTACTGAAAGGTTCAGGGAAATGAAATATTTTTTAATATTTAAAGCAATGCTATATAATGAAATGGGGTAAATAATTTCATTAGGATTTAATCATAATCATCAACAAAATTTTAGTTTAGGGGCTACTTCCAGCTACATATTGCACTCTGTCCTCTTCCCTTACTGGTATTTCACTGAAGAATATTTAAGAGGGACTGGCCTAATAGGATGAATCAAAAATTATTTTAAAATTTTATCCCACCAGAAAATCAATAATATAGAATTTTATTGTGTTGTGGGCCAGAAAATAGGCCCGGATGAGGAGGTCTCATAAAAGAAAAAAAATTATTAATTTTTTAAACCTGCCTATCAACTTGAATGGTAGATTTATTCTTCTGAAATAATAGTTTGACACTGCTATGATCAGAAAAATCAGCTGTGATCAGTGTAAAATAGCTACAATAAAACTTGTAATATATAAAGTCCCAATAACACTTAAGCTGTATGTATTTTAATTTAATGGTATGATAGATAAATCAAACACATGGCATTTCAGGAAATCTTATGTAATTAGTAAACATTCTGAGATGGGGAAAAATTTTTTTGGCAGAAAAGTTTATAAGGTATCATTTCCTTCATGACTGCTTTTCAGGAGATGGATCTAGTAGTTTGAGGTGAAGGACTGGGTGAGTCAAGAGAAAATCTTGAGTGTGATTTTGAAGTCCTCCCTTGGGTAAAATTAAGAGATTATATTTCTTGCAAACTTGAATTTGTGGATTGAGATCCATAACTGCTACACTTATCTTTAGTTAATGGAGTGTTATGAGAGTAGAGATTTGATTTGTTTTGGGATGTTCCTAAGAGCACATCATGAACCAAAGACTGAAGTTTGGGGAATACAAATGTGACTTCATATCACATGTGCTTTCTAACCATTAGAGCATTTCCACAATGAAGTATTGCCAGTTAGTGATTTCTCACCACTAGAACCATTGGTGTAATGGCTGGCTGATCACTGGACAAAGATACTGTGGAAAGATTCTTCTGTGGACTGAATTGTATCACCCACCCCCAACCTCAAATTCATCTATTGAAACCCTAACCCTCAATGTTACTGTACTTGGAGATTGGGCCTATAAAGAGGTAAGTAAGGTTAAGTAAGGTCATAATGGTGAGGACCTGGTCCTATAGGATTAGCATCCTTGTAAGAAGAGACACCAGAGAGCTCTCTACCCTCTTTCTCTCCCCAGCCATGGGAAGATGCAGTGAGAAGGTAGCTGTCTGCAAGCCAGGAAGAGAGTCCTCAACAGGAACCAAATCAGCCAGTACCTTGATCTTGACTTGCCAGCCTCCAGAACTGTGAGAAAATAAATGTATGTTGTTTAAGCTACCTAGTCTGTGATATTTTATATGGAGCCCAAGCTAACTAATATAGATTCCCATAAAGTCTAGATGGCATTCCCCAGGTTGTAGCAATTCCCAAGATTGTTTTTGCCTTGGACTGTTTTCTAAGGAACACCTTGAAATCCTTAAGTCTCTTAAATTATGTTTACCATGTTGAAAATTTGTCACTACTATAAGCTAATGGTCTCATTATGAATAATATAAACTGTTTTATTTCTGTACTTATAAATGTCTTTTCATTATCCAAATTACATACAGATTTTCCTTGATTTAAGATGGGGTTCTGTCCCAATAAACCCATCATAAGTTGAAAATACTGTTAAGTCAAAAATGCATTTAATACATGTAACCTACTGAACATCATAGCTTAGCCTGCTTTAAAAGTGCTCAGAACACTTACATTAGCCTACAGTTGGGCGAAATCATCTAATGCAAAGCCTATTTTATAATGTGTTGAATTGATCATGTAATTTATGAATACTATACTGACAGTAAAAATAGAGTGGTTGTATAGGTACAAAATGGTTTTAAGTATATTGGTCGTCTACCCTTGTGATCACATGGCTGACTGGGAGCTTCAGCTTGCTGTTGCCCGGGGTCGTGAGAGAATATCTTACCAAATACTGCTAGTGGGAAAAGATCAAAAGTCAAAATTCAAAGCACGGTTTCTACTGAATCACACCATCATGAAGTTGAAAATCATAAGTTGAACCATTGTCAGTTGGGGATCATCTTATGTACTTTTAAAACATCTTTTTTATGAAGTACCTCTTGTGTGAAGTGCACTTGGCTAGAATGGTGCATGGTAAACATAAAGATATTATCCCTCTCCTTCAAGAATCATAAACCAGTTGGGACACACTCATGCACACAGACACCCACTGTACATAGACATCAGACTAATGAATGATGTCTATAGTAACCCTAATAGGAGTTTGGTGGAGGGAAAGGGTCTAAGGCAATGATATTTTGGTAAGAAGGTTTGAGCAGAGGTCCTTCTATTCTTGCAGGCAGAGAGGACAGAAGAGAAAGCTGGGTGCACACTAATTCCTTTTTCAAAAGTCAGCTTTATGGAGCCAAAAACAATAGTTTTGCTGTCCTCACAAATAGTTCTCAACTTCAGTTGTGCATCAGATTTTCTCAGTTGGCTGAGGTAGACTCCAGATTCACTAAATCAGAATTTCTAGGGGCAAAGTTCGAGCACTTGTGTTTTTCAAAATTTCCCCAGTTGATTCCAATACCGAAACAGGATTGATACCTCCTGAACCACAGAAATAAAATGCTACTAGATAAGGGCCAGATTGCCACGCCACTTTGAGGTAGTGGACACTACTGGTAAATAAACACACACACACACACAGACACACACACACAATAATAACAGTAAAGAAGCACGCTCTTACTTATGAAGACTTCTTCCTTTTTCAGAATCAATAAATTAATACCAAGGACTAAAGGAATGTTTAGAACTAAAACGAAGCAGGTTTCAGGAAAGAACATATTATTTTAGACAATTCTAATTCTTTAGAGCTTTAAAAATATTTAGAAGATCTTTGTAGCCCCTTGAGATATTTTAGGAGGTATTACATGCATTTCAGTATTCGCGTGGGATGTGGCTGACAGAATACGGGCATCAGAGAGGGGCCGGCTCACCCTGCAAGGAGATGCAGCAGGTTGAAGGCTAGAGTCCAGGATTGACTCCCCATGATCATTGTATTTCCCTGCTTTATTTAAAAAAAAAAAAAAAAGAAAAACGTTCTGGTGTATGCCTTTAACAAGTCATTGATTAGCTAATATTTTTAATGAAATGCATCTGCCAAAAGTGAAAGCAGTAACATTGTGTGGGAGCAAAAGAATACGGCTGCAAACAGCTGGGGACCAGAGGAAGAATCCCGTTTCTACCTATTTGCTCTGGAAATAAACCGACTCTGGGTAAAACAACATATCCCGGTGAAGTATTATACCCCCGGATAGAAAAATAAAGGGAAATCTCTTGATCACAACACTAAGCAATAAATTCTATGGACAGCCTCTACTTATTAAAGCAGTGCATGAGCCACATAGGTAATTTTTAATTTTC